TAATTAGATTTACTGTCAAGGCTGGTCAAGCGTTCCCCCCAAGATTGCATTAATGAATCGATTATTTGAAAAATGAATCCCTTAGGCGTTGCCGCAACCAGTCTCAAATTCAAATCTGCATTCCTGCATGCGTAAAGAGCAGTTAATTTTTCACGATAACTCCTCTGTATTCGGTCAGATTGAAAAATCTTTAAATTGTTTTAAAGACATTTACATCAAATTCAAGAAAACTGAGCCGCCAGAAATTTCATGGCTACCTCGCGTGTGAATTCACTCCTCATTACGTACGTAGGGATCCAGAGATGAAACTGAAATCTACAACAACCAACGGATTCAACCTTCGAATAATAAATTTATTAATGCAATCTTACGTGGTACGCTTAACCTGCCCTGACTGTAAAATAATCTTGCCATGGTATTGTCTAGGAGTGAAAGGGTTAATTGCTTTGGGATATCAAAAGTAGCAAGCCTTTTATAACTACTCCTCTGCTTGCTAAAGGACTTTTCGTAACTCACCACAGTTGTGTTTTTCATTCTGACCTTTGCAGGGGCCATTCGATGCATAGACGTATCAAGTGACGGCTGCACCGTGGTAACAGGAGGCGAGGATGGACAAGTCATTATGTGGAAACTTCATGTTTAACCGACCGGCAGTTATACCACCGCCTTTAACGTAAACCAAGAGAACCTCCTGTAGAAACGAATTTCGTGACTAGTCCCTAGTACCTCACAACCGGTAATTTGGCCGCGTTGGCCTGGTGAGAGGTCTCATTACGTCTCTCATTACAGTTCAAGTAATCGAATGAACAGTCGTCGTCGTCGTGAAAAATTAGTACAATGTGAAAGTGTTGACAAAGAGGTCGCACCAGAGGATTTCGTCCAAGGACTAAAAAGTTGAAACTTAATTACTGGTCTCTATAACCAACTTTGGGATTGAACGAGGAGATCAACGGAAACGTACATATAGATTATCTAAAATCGTTTCCAAATGCCACCAGAAAAGATCATGTAGATATCAGTAGGCTCATATATTTCTTCAAAAATTTTAGGTGAAGAATTAGATTGAGGTGTTTTTTAGTATTTATTTAGACACCGATTTTTTCCATTAAAAAATTGATAAATCCCCCCCATAATTTTTCAGCCAAAAAGAGTTGATGGATTTTCGTGTGTCTTAACGCAGACTAAGGTTTTGACCTTAACGGTAGAACAGCTAAACTTCAGAGATATTCCTCGGCCATGTTGGCTACTCTTTGCGGTCACTCAAATGTTCACATTTCGCAGTAAAGCGTAGTTTTGTTGCCCCTCGACAAATTTGGAAAGTTATGGTGACAACTTTGGGCAGAAATGTGTAATAGGTTTCTTCCACAGGAGTTGAATAGCAAAACACTTTGTCCAAAGAAGAATTATTTACCTTAGTTTTTAAGATACCAATATATATGAAGAAACAATAACTTTAAAAATTGTTTTCTTGTAAAATATGTGTACATTAACGGCGCTTTTATTAACAAAGAAGAATAAGCGTGCTTACCTATTGGGGGTTCCAGGTATTGTTCTGTTATCCTTATTACGCTTACTCTTGTAGCCAAGGAGATAGAACTGGGTACAAGATTCAGTTATGTCCTGGACTGCACTCTGTCGCAAAAATTCGCTAGCACAATTTTATCGCAATTTAAGCAAAAAATGGTTAAGGGGAACTGCTTGCAGAAATGTATGCGAAGCAACACACACACACACATACCTGATACAGGGAATACACTAAAACCACTTTAAAAACTAGCTACGGTCACCACATATAGGTTTCAGCCCAATGCCTGCCAAATACCACACAAATATCGACGAAAATCGGTCTAGAACATGAGCTCCATTCAACAGCCGGCTCCCATGTTCTTGATAGTGTGCTCTCCTCCTGTTCACAAGGCTCTCATTTGCGGTTCAGAAGGCTGGTTTCTAACTTGTTTGGCGGATTAATTGATGATTGATTAAAAAGTGACTGATTATTGACGGCGGGTGTAAAAACGTTTCTTCCCGATGGATACCGGCAGGTATTTTCTGCAGGTAAACGCATTACAAATGTCAGATTACAGGTCACCGTGCGACAGATTATTAAACAAGACCAGAAGTGTCTCCTAGCCCTAATCCTTATCCAATACGGTTGATTTTGATCGAGGGGAAATTACTTGGTTTACCCAAACTATCAATAAAACAGTGGCAGTGAAGGAGTCATTAAAGTTATGGGTAGGACGAGAGGCTTTGAACAAGAGACTTCTTTAGTCTCTTTTGGTATCATATTTTTCTGATCTTACTCAGAGTGGCTAGCACTTTATAGCATGACGATGTGACCAACTACAAGTGAACACTGGAAATGCAAAAACAATATTTGTTAGTGTTTGGCTACACTGTTGTTGTTCTGACAATGCTGTAATTCAGTCAAAAGTATAAAATTCAAATGTTGTTTTGAAGTGTAACCTAACAAACACTGAAACTGATGAAAAATTCATTGTGAACTCGGAAGTTGATGTATTAAAATGCAACAGATGTAAGATTCACAGGGTAATGAGATTTCATTTCAGCGGGTGTCCACTTACGGGAGCTTAAAATCAAAGCTTAACTCTAATTCCTAAACCTTTAAAGTGTCCGCAGCCGCCTATATGCGGGAATTGTTCGCTTGAGGAAATGTGAAAATACAGACGGTTTGTGTGGGAGTTGAAACGGGATTTTGTGAAAGCGCCCGTAAGTAGAGCTGTCCGCTTATGAGAGTGTCCGTCCAGAGAGCTTTCACTGTATTTGATGTATATTCTTTTCCAAAAAAGGCAGGGTACGTGTGAACTGGGTCAAAGATTAACCACTGTTGTGAGCACCCATATCGAGACTCTTTGGACCCTTCATGGGACCTCCTCACGACACTGTAGCCCAGAAAGTTAAACCAAAGGGGACGTTAAGTGCAGTACTCATAATAGGCTGTGAATGAGGCGAAGACGTTTTTCCAGTCGTGGTTTTCCTCCACATGACCGGAAGAACGCCTGCGTTTGCAGGCTATTTACAATAAAAATACTGTAAATAGCCCAAGGAGCGCTTATCGACCGCGCGTCGGACTCGAAGTAAGAGCTTCATGCATTTATGCAACTAAATTTGTGCCTTAGGCGTGGGGAAACTCCCATGTCGATTCCGGCCCTGATAGTTTTTATTTTCACATATTTTTGTCATTTTCTTCCTTGATTTGAATTTAACATGTAGACCATATGAGTATCAAGTTTCTTGAGAATGTTAATTATGCGGGTCTTAAGCGTTTTGCGCGATTGTAAAAAAAAAAATCGCGAATAAAGTGTCAATAAGGTTTATATAAATAAGATGTAGTTTCATTAGAAAATGAAACACGAATAATCAAACGAAAGCTACGTTCTATTCTCACTACAAATATTAACTGGACTACCTAACATAGCAGTTAATAGCTACCGATAGAGAAAAGTAAAAACATTTTTAAAGAAAGTCTTAACCCATTTCCTTCACTTGACTGTTAGTTTTTTGCGTTTGGACCGCTGGGGAGGAAACACAATCGGCGACAAAATTTGCTGAGACACTTTGCACTAAGGGGCCTTTCGGACGCTTTATAGACTTCAAAAGGAAAAAATAAACCTTTTCCTCCCCCATCCCCTCCATGCATTGTTGTGCTGCTGTTCAAGCTACCTGTCGAAAAGAACAAATGCCCCAACTTTGAATCGAGGAAAGAGATGGGTGGTTGGATTGTTTTGTTCTCTGAAGTTACACTATTTGAGTATACTGTCTCTCAAAAGTTTTGTTGCGTATTGCATCTCAAATACTCCAGTTTTTAAACACTCTTGCTGTTTAGAGTCCAAAAAGGATTTTTGTGAGTCTTTTGATCTGAGTAGCTATGAGCAAAAAAACACAACGCTAATTGTAGGTTACTATGAGCAGAACAATGTAAGAGACAAATGAGTCCTCACCAATGCGGGCTATTTCCGAGTTGACTCAAGCCTCTGTTTCAAAGCGAGGCTAAGTGAAGAGCTATTGACAGATAATAATGATTTTTTATTCTCATGCAAATAAAACTCATTTTAACAAGAAAAGTTTTGCACTTTTTCGAAATTTGGAAAAGGCATTAATGGTCTACTGTAGTGATTGTATAGTGTATGGCTCCCTTATTATCGTCACACTGAAATGGCATCGAATACTATTTCTGGATGACTCCAGGTTTTTTTTAGGAGTATTACAGATTTAACTACGAAAGAGAGAGATTCCATGAAAGAGAAATATTGTATAGCGAAATATTTTATATGTGTGTAACGAACTATAAATTGCCAAGTAACAGTTTTATTTTCGATCGGATGTCAAAAAACACATTTTCCTTAAATAAAATATGCTTGCGTCGTATTCTTTTGTTTATATCATTATCTTGAATTGGTACTAATAAAAGATATTTTTAGGCAGAATATCATCACACACAATTTCTTAAAATAAATTTGTAACCAATTGCGTCGTGTCCTTTTGATCACATGATTTGTCAAAGTCTTTATAATCAGTTGACGCCCCTTTGATATCATCATATCAGGATACGACTGAGTGAAACAGTTATAGTGAAGCGAAAAAGAGAAGTTCTTCCTTCGTGAAAATACAGGTAGGCTAAATCTGATAAATTAGATTTTATAATTAGCGATATAATATTGTTCAATGTTATGCTGTCTGTGCACTTTCTAGACAAGCCACACTATTAGTGTTTTCAAAAAGTTTCCTAGTTGTTTTTATCGCTTTTTTTATGTTTCCCGTGAATGCATTAATAGCCTCACAAACTGACGTAAGGTATTTTAGTTAATAACTTCGGACATGAACTGTTTTAGATAAATCTTGTTCCTTGTCTTCGTATTTCCAAGTCGCAAAATTCTTCAGCACAACCTTTTCTCTACCAGAAGCATTTGACTGATTTAGTTCGTCCATGCGGATTTATTTGAGACGGTCATTCCATCTCATTCCATCTAAGACAGATTTTCCATCACGGATTTGTGGTCTTTTAGCACAAATTTAAGCTCGTCCTTAATAGCCGGACCCACTGAAGGACGAAGACATACATACTTTTGCTTATTCCTCGCAATTCAACTTTCTTGCCATTTAATACATTCAATTAATTTTTTCGATTTTTTTTTCACGGTAGTTTTAATGTTATTTATCAGTAGGGCGAAAAAAACTTACATACCACAGCAATGACGTGGATGATTGCATGGGGGCAAAAATCAAAACACCAAAAAATCCCTGGACAAAAAATTCCCCCCCCCCCCCCCCCCCAAAAAAAATCCCATACAAAACTACGCGGCCGAAATACGCGAGCACCACCACGAATCTTTACTTATATCAAGCCGCCCAAGATAATACTTGCCCAATTTTCCTACTCCAAAAACTCCCGGAATCGAAAATTTCAAACCCAAAAAATCCTTCTATCATCGCCGTCACTTGAAATCCGGAGTACCTCCATTGGGTTTTTGTTCAACCTCAAATTTCTTAATCGAAAGTTTTGCTTATGACGTACTTCATAGCCACAAAACAGATTATCGAATACGAAGCTGAATCGCAAAGACTGAAAAGTAAAACGGAAACAACCAAGTATCTTCTATTTTTTGGAAACCGAAATACACGCAACTGGAAAACGAAACACCCTCAACTCCGGTGAAAGGGCCTGCAATAAACTACAATGGGTCAGTTAATTTGAAGCGTGACCATCCCCTTTGGGAATTTGCGTTGCCTCTAGGTACTCTTACCCACGGTGGGACATTTGTAATCAAACGTCTGTCTCGGGGAGGGGAGAGTATAGAAGAGTTTTACATTTTTAGCGCCTTACATTGAAAAAATTTTGCGGTATTGTAGTGTTTGGCAAATTTTCATGCGGTACTTATGTAACTATGGTCTTGAATTCTGATATTGTGGTATTTCTAAACGTGCGAAATTTTTTGTGATTGGCGATTTTTGGCATGGTTTTGTCAAAATTGTCGATTTTTCTTTGCTGTGTTACGGAGTTCGGTATACCCCTAGCCGCTCCAATCTTTTTTTTTTTTTTTTGCGTATGCGTATTTTTCTACTACAAGACCGGCTTCAATAGTGTGATATCGTGCCCAGTTGAGGTAGTGGAAAGGTTTTCACTTTAGCGCCAAACAATATTCCCATGATAACTTGTTGTGCAGTTGAAGACCCTTGTTAAAACCATCAAAAAAAGCAATTAGAAAGGCATTTGTAATAACGGATGCCGAAATCCTATGTAAAATGTCCGCCCTTTTTTGTTTTCAGAACCAAAACAACTCAACCTCGTCCCCAGGTCTTCTCGGTTAACGGTCCATTAACCTGTAGAAGGCTGCATTTTTGACGTCATTTCCTCGATAAACACAAAATTCTTCCAAATTTAGTCATCAGTAACTGGTTATGGTGAATTATGCGTCAGCTTTTAGCCAATCAGAATTGAGGAAATTATTTTAATTGAATAATAATATTTTTTTAAGGGTCATTGTAATGACGGCAGATTGCTGCAATTAACTCTCGATTCTGTTTTTAAATATGCTTCTGTCACGCATTACTGAAGTGGCACTGTAACTCGCTGCTACTAAATGGATTGACTACGTAACAAAATAATATATATATTTTTTAATGCCTCAACGCTTTATTGCAAGTAAAAAAATAATGAATAACTGAAAAAAACATCGCTCTGAATCTGAAGATGAATCAGCTACCGAGATTGTCGAAACGTGAGTTGGCAATGGTTGGTTACTAGGGTGGCCTGAGCCGTGAGTCAAGTATTGAATTCTGGAAAACAGTTTCATGTCTTGATTGAAAGCGAAATGGAAAAATGAATCAAATTACGTGTACTGTCCCGTTATATGAAAAAGACGTCACCGCGCGTTTCATGACTGCCTGCCACAGTATTGTTTAATTGATTTGTTACAATAAAAATTTTATACTAATGTAAGTTTACCATTTGTGGCAAAATGAATGGCTGTTTTGGTTGCAGTGCTTATACAATTGAAGATAATATTAATTTACAGCTTTATACTGATTTTTCCAGATCAAACCATCATGGCACAGAGTGGAAACGGAGCAGCATGTGAGAGTGATGTTACATCACTTGGTACCGGACAAGGGCTAAACTTTGATGAGGACACACTGAAAGGTAAAGATTCTTACAACTGTTAATAGTGTATCACCAAATGGCCTTTAACACAGCAAACTAAAAAGTGTTGTTGTCAATGTGGTCATAGCCGCCAAATGTTTATAATTATCTAATTAACAATGTTTTTATGAGGAATTTTTATCAATAAAGTATTATCAATAACGAAAGGTGTAGCAAATTATGACTATTATGTTCTTAACTTCTATGAGGCTTATTGATATACAAGTAAACTTAACCGAGTTTCACTTAATTGGACCAAAAAGAAATAATGTTTTTGAAGAGTTATTCTAATGATGGCACATTGCTGCAAATAACTCCTGATTCTGTTTTCAAACAGTGCCGCTTCAGTAATATATCGCGTGACAGAACCGTGTAACTCGCTGCTACTAAATGGATTGACTACGTAACAAAATAATGAATAATTGAAAAAAAACATCGGTCTGAATCTGAAGATGAATCAGCTACCTAGATTGCCGAAACGTGAGTTGGCTGTGGTTGGTTACTAGGGTGGCCTGAGCCGTGAGTGGGGTATTGAATTCTGGAAAGCAGTTTCATGTCTTGATTGAAAGCGCAATGGAAATATGAATCAGATTATGTGTACCGTCCTGTTATATGAGAATGACTTCACCGAGCGTTTAATGACTGCCTTTTACAGAATTGTTTAATTGATTTGTTTCAATAAAACTTTTATACTAATGTAAGTTTACCATTTGTGGCAAAATAAATGGCTGTTTTGGTCGCAGTGCTTAGACTATTAAAGGTAATATTAATTTACAGCTTTGTACTGATTTTTCCAGATCAAACCATCATGGCACAGGGTGGAAACGGAGTAGCATGTGAAAGTGATGCTACATCACTTGGTACAGGACAAGGGCTGAACTTTGATGAGGACACACTGAAAGGTAAAGATTCTTACAACTGTTAATAGTGTATCACAAAATGGCCTTTAACACAGCAAACTAAAAAGTGTTGTTGTCAATGTGGTCATAGCCGCCAAATGTTTATAATTATCTAATTAACAATGTTTTTATGAGGAATTTTTATCAATAAAGTATTATCAATAACGAAAGGTGTAGCAAATTATGACTATTATGTTCTTACGTTCTATGACGCTTATTGATATACAAGTAAACTTAACCGAGTTTCACTTAATTGGACCAAAAAGAAATAATATGTTTTTTAAGAGTTATTCTAATGATGGCACATGCTGCAATTAACTCCTGATTCTTTTTTTAAATATGGTTCTGTCACGCGTTACTGAAGTGGCACTGTAACTCGCTGCTACTAAATGGATTGACTACGTAACAAAATGATGAATATTTGAAAAAAACATCGCTGTTGAATCTAAAGATGAATCAGCCAATGAGGTTGTCAAAAGGAAGGTTGGCAATGGTTGGTTACTAGGGTGGCCTGAGCCTTGAGCTGGCCACTGAATTCTGAAAAGGAGTTTTACGTCTTGATTGAAACCGCAATGGAAAACTGAATGAGATTGCGTGACTAACGCGCTTTTCATGACTGCCTGCCACAGAATTGTTTAATTGATTTGTTTCTATAAAAGTTTTATGCTAATATAAGTTTACTACTTGTGGCAAAATGAATGGCTGTTTTAGTACCAGTGCTTATACAAGTGAGATAATATTAATCTAAAACTTTATTTAATACTGATTTTTCCAGATCAAACCATCATGGCCCAGAGTGGAAACGGAGCAGCAAATGAGAGTGATGCTACGTCACATGGTACCGAACAAGAGCTGAACTTTGATGATGGCACATTGAAAGGTAAAGATTCTTACAACTGTTAATAATGTATCACCAACGTGACTAAATGGATTGACTACGTACCAAAAAAAAGTTAAAAACGGTAAAAAACATCGCTCTGAATCTATAGATGAAACAGTTGCCGAAACGTGAATGCGCAATGGTTGGTTGCTAGGGTGGCGTGAACCGTGAGATGGCCACTGAATTCTGGAAAGCAGTTTCACTCTTGATCGAAAGTGCAATGGAAATATGAATCAGATTACGTGTACCGTCCTGTTATATGAAAATGACTTCACCGCGCGTTTCATGACTGCCTGCCACAGAATTGTTAACTTTACCATTTGTGTCAAACTGAATGGCTGTTTTGGTCGCAGTGCTTATACAATTAAAGATAATATTAATTTACATCTTTATACTGATTTTTCCAGATCAAACCATCATGACACAGAGTGGAAACGGAACAGCATGTGAGAGTGATGTTACATCACTTGGTACCGGACAAGGGCTGAACTTTGATGAGGACACACTGAAAGGTAAAGATTCTTACGACTGTTAATAGTGTATCACCAAATGGCCTTTAACACAGCAAACTAAAAAGTGTTGTTGTCAATATGGTCATAGCCGCCAAATGTTTATAATTATCTAATTAACAATGTTTTTATGAGGAATTTTTATCAATAAAGTATTATCAATAACGAAAGCTGTTGCAAATTATGACTATTATCTTCTTAAGTTCTATAGAGTGTTTTCACTCACGTGGCCAGCATCTATGCAAATTTATTGGAACAAAAGAAAGCGTTTGCATAAGAAAGGAGTTCAACTCCCACAGGACTGGTTTGGGACACCAACATGGCCGCCGTTTCATTGTTTTGGGACACCAATATGGCCGCCGTGACGTCATGTGAAAACACTCTATAAGGCTATGATATACAAGTAAACGTAACCGAGTTTCACTTAATTAGACCAAAAAGAAATAATATGTTTTTTAAGAGTTATTCTAATGATGGTACATTGCTGCAATTAACTCTCGATTCTGTTTTTAAACATGGTTCTGTCACGCGTTACTGAAGTGGCACTGTAGCTCGCTGCTACTAAATGGATTGACTACGTAAAAAAATAATGAATAATTGAAAAAAAAAACATCGCTTTAAATCCGAAGATGAATCAGCTACCGAGATTGTCGAAACGAGAGTTGGCTGTGGTTGGTTACTAGGGTGGCGTGAGCCGTGAGTGAGGCATTGAATTCTGAAAAGCAGTTTCAGGTCTTGATTGAAAGCGCAATGGAAAAATGAATCAGATTACGTGTACTGTCCTGTTATATGAAAATGACTTTACCGATCGTTTCATGACTGCCTTTTACAGAATTGTTTATTGATTTGTTTCAATAAAAATTTTATAGTAATGTAAGTTTACCATTTGTGTCAAAATGAATGGCTGTTTTGTTTGCAGTGCTTATACAATTGAAGATAATATTAATTTACAGCTTTATACTGATTTTTCCAGATCAAACCATCATGACACAGAGTGGAAACGGAGCAGCATGTGAGAGTGATGTTACATCACTTGGTACCGGACAAGGGCTGAACTTTGATGAGGACACACTGAAAGGTAAAGATTCTTACGACTGTTAATAGTGTATCACCGAATGGCCTTTAACACAGCAAACTAAAAAGTGTTGTTGTCAATGTGGTCATAGCCGCCAAATGTTTTTAAAGAGCAAACGGGATTTATCTAATTAACAATGTTTTTATGAGGAAATTTTATCAACAAAGTATTATCAATAACGAAGGCTGTTGCAAATTATGACTATTATCTTCTTAAGTTCTATAAGGCTATGATATACAAGTAAAGTTAACCGAGTTTCACTTAATTGGACCAAAAAGAAATAATATGTTTTTTAAGAGTTATTCTGATTATGGCACATTGCTGCATTTAACTACCGATTCTGTTTTTAAACATGGTTCTGTCACGCGTTACTGAAGTGGCACTGTAACTCGCTGCTACTAAATGGATTGACTACGTAACAAAATGATGAATATTTGAAAAAAACATCGCTCTGAATCTAAAGATGAATCAGCCAATGAGGTTGTCAAAAGGAAGGTTGGCAATGGTTGGTTACTAGGGTGGCCTGAGCCTTGAGCTGGCCACTAAATTCTGAAAAGCAGTTTTACCTCTTGATTGAAACCGCAATGGAAAACTGAATGAGATTGCGTGACTGTCGCGCTTTTCATGACTGCTTGCCACAGAATGGTTTAATTGATTTGTTTCTATAAAAGTTTTATGCTAATATAAGTTTACTACTTGTGGCAAAATGAATGGCTGTTTTGGTACCAGTGCTTATACAAGTGAGATAATATTAATCTAAAACTTTATTTAATACTGATTTTTCCAGATCAAACCATCATGGCACAGAGTGGAAACGGAGCAGCAAATGAGAGTGATGCTACGTCACATGGTACAGAACAAGAGCTGAACTTTGATGATGGCACATTGAAAGGTGAAGATTCTTACAACTGTTAATAATGTATCACCAACGTGACTAAATGGATTGACTACGTACCAAAAAAAAGTTTAAAATGGTAAAAAACATCGCTCTGAATCTATAGATCAAACAGTTGCCGAAACGTGAATACGCAATGCTTGGTTGCCAGGGTGGCGTGAGCCGTGAGTTGGCCACTGAATTCTGGAAAGCAGTTTCACTCTTGATCGAAAGTGCAATGGAAATATGAATCAGATTACGTGTACCGTCCTGTTATATGAAAATGACTTCACCGCGCGTTTCATGACTGCCTGCCACAGAATTGTTTAATTGATTTGTTTCAATAAAAATTTTATACTAATGTAACTTTACCATTTGTGTCAAAATGAATGGCTGTTTTGGTCGCAGTGCTTATACAGTTAAAGATAATATTAATTTACGGCTTTATACTGATTTTTCCAGATCAAACCATCATGGCACAGAGTGGAAACGGAGCAGCATGTGAGAGTGATGTTACATCACTTGGTACCGGACAAGGGCTGAACTTTGATGAGGACACACTGAAAGGTAAAGATTCTTACGACTGTTAATAGTGTATCACCAAATGGCCTTTAACACAGTAAACTAAAAAGTGTTGTTGTCAATATGGTCATAGCCGCCAAATGTTTAAAATTATCTAATTAACATTGTTTTTATGAGGAATTTTTATCAATAAAGTGTTATCAATAACGAAAGCTGTTGCAAATTATGACTATTATCTTCTTAAGTTCTATAAGGCTATGATATACAAGTAAACGTAACCGAGTTTCACTTAATTAGACCAAAAAGAAATAATATGTTTTTTAAGAGTTATTCTAATGATGGTACATTGCTGCAATTAACTCTCGATTCTGTTGTTAAACATGGTTCTGTCACGCGTTACTGAAGTGGCACTGTAGCTCGCTGCTACTAAATGGATTGACTACGTAACAAAATAAAGAATAATTGAAAAAAAAAACATCGCTTTAAATCCGAAGATGAATCAGCTACCGAGATTGTCGAAACGAGAGTTGGCTGTGGTTGGTTACAAGGGTGGCCTGAGCCGTGAGTGAGGCATTGAATTCTGAAAAGCAGTTTCAGGTCTTGATTAAAAGCGCAATGGAAAAATGAATCAGATTACGTGTACTGTCCTGTTATATGAAAAAGACTTTACCGATCGTTTCATGACTGCCTTTTACAGAATTGTTTTTTGATTTGTTTCAATCAAAATTTTATACTAATGCAAGTTTTACCATTTTTGTCAAAACGAATGGCTGTTTTCTTTGCAGTGCTTAGACAATTGAAGATAATATTAATTTACAGCTTTATACTGATTTTTCCAGATCAAACCATGATGGCACAGAGTGGAAACGGAACAGCATGTGAGAGTGATGTTACATCACTTGGTACCGGACAAGGGCTGAACTTTGATGAGGACACACTGAAAGGTAAAGATTCTTACAACTGTTAATAGTGTATCACCAAATGGCCTTTAACACAGCAAACTAAAAAGTGTTGTTGTCAGTGTGGTCATAGCCGCCAAATGTTTATAAAGAGCAAACGGGATTTATCTAATTAACATTGTTTTTATGAGGAATTTTTATCAACAAAGTATTATCAATAACGAAAGCTGTTGCAAATTATGACTATTATCTTCTTAAGTCCAATAAAGCTATGATATACAAGTAAACTTAACCAAGTTTCACTTCATTGGACCAAAAAGAAATTGTATGTTTTTTAAGAGTTATTCTAATGATGGCACATTGCTGCAATTAACTCCCGATTCTGTTTTAAAACATTGTTATGTCACGCGTTACTGAAGTGGCACTGTAACTCGCTGCGTCTAAATGAGCTTAAATGGATTGACTACGTAACAAAAAAAGTAAATAATTGTAAAAAACATCGCTCTGAATCTGAAGATGAATCAGCTACCGAGGTTGCCGAAACGTGAATTCGCAATGGTTGGTTGCTAAGGTGGCCTGAGCCGTGAGTGGGCCACTGTATTCTGGAAAGCAGTTTCACTTTTGATCGAAAGTGCAATACAAGTTTGATTCAGATTACGTGTACTGTCCTGTTGAACGAAAATGACTTCGCCGCGCGTTTCGTGACTGCCTGCGACTTTAATTGATTTGTTTCAATAAACGTTTTATACTAATGTAAGTTTACCGCTTGTGGTAAAATGAATGGCTGTTTTGGTACCAGTGCTTATTATTATGAGGAATTTTTATCAACAAAGTATTATCAATAACGAAAGCTGTTGCAAATTATGACTATTATCTTCTTAAGTCCTATAAAGCTATGATATACAAGTAAACTTAACCGAGTTTCACTTAATTGGACCAAAAAGAAATAATATGTTTTTCAAGGGTCATTGTAATGATGGCACATTGCTGGAATTAACTCCCGATTTTGTTTTTAAATATGGTTCTGTCACGCGTTACTGAAGTGGCACTGTAACTTGCTGCTACTAAATGGATTGACTACGTAACAAAAAAATAAATAATTGAAGAAAAACATTGTTCTGAATCTGAAGATGAATCAGCCACTGAGCTTGTCCAAACGTAAGCTCGCAATGGTTGATTACTAGGGTGGCCTCCGCCGTGAGTGGGCCACTGAATTCTGAAAAGCAGTTTCACGTCTTGATTGAAAGCGCAATGGAAAACTGAATCAGATTACGTGACTGTCGCGCTTTTCATGACTGCCTGCAACAGAATTTTTTAATTGAGTTGTTTCAAGTTTTATGCTAATATAAGTTTACCACTTGTGGCAAAATGAATGGCTGTTTTGGTACCAGTGCTTATACAAGTGAGATAATATTAATTTAAAGCTTTATTTTATCTGATTTTTCTAGATCAAACCATCATGGCACAGAGTGGAAACGGAGCAGCAAATGAGAGTGATGTTACGTCACTTGGTACCGGACAAGAGCTGAACTTTGATGATGGCACATTGAAAGGTGAAGATTCTTACAACTGTTAATAGTGTATCACCAAAAGGCCTTTAAGGTGATTCCTTAGTAAAAGAATCTAACATAGATTGTAGATGAAACTTGGTACACTGATGAAACAAGTCAAGAAGATGATAAAAAAGTGATAAAAAGTGGGGGTCACGGGGCTTGTTTTGACGTCACAATGCTGACATATACCTGCTATTTAGGACCCTTTGACAAAAACGGCGCGGAGTCCAAAAGTAGACGAAAAGGAGAGGTTTTTTCGATGATGCATGTGGTAACACACAGAATTTGACTTTAATGTATTGTTTATCTACTTACGTACCAGAAAAATGCCTTTTAATGCCCTTGTTTTTAATATACGCTCCAAAGTAGAATTAAATTGGACACGCCTTATTCGACCCGTGATAGCTCAATCCGTACAATCTAGTAAAATTGCGAAAAAACTGAACATAGATTTGTGCCAATTTTTTTTCTCATCGAAAGGAAAAACTGTCCTTATTAAAATCATGAAGTAAAAAAATGGGGGTCACCGTACTCGTTTTTGCGGTAGAGCTGGAGAAAGTCCGCACCAAATGCATTTTCTCCGATTTTTGAGAGAGGACTGGGGCGCGTTTCAAAATGTCATGTATGTGAAAGGGGGAAGAAAGTATTAAGAAAATCCGTCTTTACAGAGTTTACATTGAGATATCTCATTTAGGACAAATTGTGATAAAGAAAGCGTGTAAATGAAAATCAAAGTAAGAACAAGTTTAACATCCACTGTCGAGGTTCTCCGTGAGGAAGTCGAGCTCAGCAACACGCGCGCGTACTGGTTCCGTTATGCACATTCCCAACACACTGAGTCTCACCTCGGCAAGAAAAAAACCGCAAGCAAAAATTCCAATAGCTTTTCTCTTCAGTAAACTTCACTTTAATAATGTTACTGAAATGCTCTATTTTTAAGGCGGCCATCTTGTTATGCGCAGTAAGAGATGCGCAGTGCACTTCCAGAGAATCACCTTAACATAGCACACTAAGGAGAAATGAAATAAAAGATACAGAAAAAAAAAACTTCATTTGAAAACATTCAACATACAAAAGTGATTAAAGAGTGAAAGTCGTTACACATTATCTCTAGTGAAGGTGGTTTTTAAATTTTTTATCTAGATTAAGCTTTTTTTAGTATAGATTTCGTGGTCAACGAATTACTTTCTCTCGAGGATTCACCGTTGTATCCAGCGCTGCATCAGCTCCCGGCAGGCACGACTCCTATTTTCCCGCCAACCGGAAAGATGCGCTCGTACTGCGCATAACGCTTCAGTAGTATTCTCTAAAGCTACAAATTTAATACATTTCAAGCTTTTTTGGCAGTTTTAACTTCAGAAAGTGAGTAACTGAACGACCAAATTTGCCACTGTTTCACCAATGTCAGTCATGTCATGGTCATCGCCATTCATGAGTTAACAAGTGACACCATTTGCCTATCCGGGGAATAAATGATCTCTGTCATATTTTTTGTTTTAATCTGTAGCAAAGAGACGAAGAAGGAAATGAACACAAAAAAAGTTACACACGATAGTCCGCATTATACTCTTATCTTTTGCACTCACAATTTTATTTTTTTTTTAAACCATAGCAAGTTTCATTCTCAACGAGTATTCCGCATTTCAAGAGACGCGAATGATCATTCTGTCTTGGTCAAGCCAACTAAAAAAATCATTGCCAAATTTTCCTACCCCAAAAGAATCCTGGAATCAAAAATTTCAAACCCAAAAAATCCTTCGATCATCTCCGTCACTAAAAATCGGGAGTACCTCAACTGGGGTTTCGTTCGACCCCAAATTTCTTTATCGAAAGTTTTCATCTGTGCATATGTCGTACTTATAACCGCAAAACAGATTGTCGATTACGAAGCTGAATCGCAGATATCTACAAGTAAAAAGGAAACAACCACCAATGGGATAAAAACCAAGTGTCCTGTATTTTTTGGAAACCGAAATACACTCAACTGGAAAACGAAGCACCCTCAACTCCGGTGAAAATGCCTGAAATAAACTACAATGGGGTGGGGTATTTGGAATCAAACGTCTGCCTCGGGGATGGGGAGAGTATGGTAGAGTTTTAAATTTTTAGCTCCTTACATTAAGAAATTTTACAGTATTGTGGTGTTTGCCAAATTTTCGTGCGGTACTTATGTAATTGTGGTCTTGAATTCTGATATTGTGGCATTAATAAACAAGCGGAATTTTTTGTTTTTGGCTCGGTGATTTTTAGCATGGTTTTGCTAAATTTGTCGATTTTTCGGTATACCCCTACCCCGTGCAATCTTAATTTTCGAGCATGCGTATAATTCTACTACAAGACCGGCTTCGATAGTGTGATGTGGTGCCCAGTTGCGGGTGTAGAAGGTTTTTACTTTAGTGCCAAACAGTAATATTCCCATGCTAATTTGTTATGGGGTTAAAGACCCTTGTTGAACCCACGAACAGAAACAATTAGAAAGAAATTTATAATAATGGATGCCGAAATCGTATACTCTAACCACAGCACCTTGACATGGTATCATTTATTATTATTACTCATTATTATTATGATTATGATTATAATTATTAGCATCATTATGATTATGCCTATGATTATCGTGATTATTCTTTGAAAAGGTTGTTTTAGTGTTAATCCAATCTTAAGTTTTTGTAATTTGAAACTAAAAAACGTGTTGTTTTCAATGTGGTCATGGCCGCCAAATATCTTTAAGTAGCAAACGGGATTTGTCTAATTAACAATGTTTTTATATCGCGAAATTTTATCAACAAAGTATTATCAATAACGAAAGCTGTTGCAAATTACGGCCATTATCTCCTTCAGTCCTTAAAAGCTTCAAGTAAACTTAATCGAGTTTCGCTTGGACCAAAAAGAAACAATATGTTTATAAGGGTCATTCTAATGATGGCACATTGCTGCAATTGACTCCTGATTCTGTTTTCAAATATGGCTCTGTCACGCGTTACTGAAGTGGCACTGTAACTGGCTGCTACTACATGGATCGATTACGTAACAAAAAAATAAATAATGGAAAAAAAACATCGCTCTAAATCTGAAGATGAATCAGCTACCGAGATTGGCTACTGAATTCTGGAAAGCAGTTTCATGTCTTGATTGAAAGGGCAATCGAAAACTGAATCAGATTACGTGTACTGTCCTTTTGTATGAAAATGACTTCACAGCGAGTTTCATGATTACCTGCCACAGAATTTTGATTGATTTGTTTCAATAAAAGTTTTATACTAATGTAAGTTTACCACTTGTGGCCAAATGAATGGCTGTTTTGGTACCAGTGCTTAAACAAGTGAAGATAATATTAGCTTAAAGCTTTAAATATACTTGATTTTTCCAGATCAAAACATTATGGCACAGAGTGGAAACGGAGCCGCATGTGACCGTGATGTTACGTCACTTGGTACCGGACAAGAGCTGAACTTTCATGATGACACACTGAAAGGTAAAGATTCTTACAACTGTTCATAGTGTATCACCAAATGGCCTTTAACACAGCAAACTATGGAAAAATGAAATAAAAGATATAAAAAAGGAAAAAAACGTCATTTGAAAACATTCAACATACGGAAGTGCATTGGTTAAAGAGTGAAAGTCGTTAAACATAATCTCTACTCAAGGCGGTGTTTTAACTTTTTATCTAGATTAGGCTTTTTCTAGAATTAGTGGCCGACGAACTCTTTTATCTTGCGGATACACCGTTATAGACAACACTGCATTAGCTCCCGGAAAGTATGAAAAGGAGTATAATTGGAAAAGAACTAAGTATCCTGTATTTTTTGGAAACCGAAATACACTCAACTGGAAAACAAAGCACCCTCAACTCCGGTGAAAGGGCCTGCAACCAACTAAAATGAGCCAGTTAATTTGAAGTTTTGAATTTGCGTTGCCTCTAGGTACTTTTACCCACGGTGGGGCATTTGGAATCAAAAGTTTGTCTCGGGGAGGGGAGACTATGGTAGAGTTTTACATTTTTAGCGCCTTACATTGAGAAATTTTGCGGTATTGGTGTTCGGCAAATTTTCACGAGGTACCTTTTATACCCCTAGCCACTTCAATCTTATTTTGCATGCGGACACTTCTACTACAAGACCTGCTTCGACAGTGTGATATTGTGCCCAGTTGCGGTTGTCGAAAGCTTTTCACTTTAGTACCAAACAATATTTCCATGATAATTTGTTATGCGGTTGAACCCATCAACAGAAACAATAAGAAAGGCATTTATAACAATGGACGCCGAAATGCTATGGTGCAACCACAGCACCCTCACATGGTACCATTTATTATTATTATTATTATTACTATTATTTGAAAAGGTTATTTTAGTGTTAATCCAATCTTAAGATTTGGTAGTTTATCACGAATTTTTATCAACAAAGTATTACTGATCAATAACGAATTAAGCTTTTTGCCTCAAGTTTTAAAAAGCTACAAGTAATTTTATTTCACTTGCACGAAAATGAGATAATATGTTTATAAGGGTCATTCTAATGATACCACATTGCTGCAATTAACTCCTAAATCTGTTTTCAAACACACGCCGGGGATGGTTCTGTCACGCGAAGAAAATTGCTCTGAATCTGAATCTGACGCGCAATAGTAAAATGAATCAGATTACATGTACTGTCCTGTTATATGAAAATGACTTCACCGCGCGTTTCATGACTGCCTGCCACAGAATTTTGATTGACTTTTTTTTTCGGCAATAAAAGTCTTGAAAATGAAGAAATGATCGTCGCAGTGAACGCAATTTATGCAATTGCCTGAAGAAGCCTGAAAAAAAATTCAGGACTTCAACGGGGTTAATGTGAGTTTACCACTTGTGGCAAAATGAATGCCTGTTTTGGTACCAGAGCTTATAAAAGTGAAGAGAATATTAATTTAAAGCCTTTTAATGATTTTTCCAGGTCAAACCATCATGGCGCAGAGTGGAAACAGAGCAGCATGTGACCGTGACGTTACGTCACTTGGTACCGGAAAGGAGCTGAACCTTGATGATGACACAATGAAAGGTAAAGAATTTTAAAACTGTTAATAGTGTATCACCAAAAGGCCTTCAACATTTGAAAACATTCAACATACGGAAATGCATGGTTAAAGAGTAGAAGTCGTTAAATAGTTACTGAAGATGGTTTTTTAAACTTGTATCTAGATTAAGCTTTTGCTATAATTTGTGGCCGGCGAATTCTTTTAACTTTCGGGTTCACCGTTATAGACAACACTGCATTAGCTCCCGGCAAGTGTGATTCCTATTTTCCCGCCAACCCGAAAGATGCACTTGTAGCGCATAACGCCTTAGTAGTGTTCCTTCTGGAGCTACTAATTTAATGCATTTTTAGCTTTTTCGGAATTTTTAACTTCAGAAAGTGAGTAACTGAACGAGCAAATTTACCTCTATCTGTAACTAATGTCATGGTGAACGCCATTTATGAGTTAATAAGTAACACCATTTGCCTAACCGGGGAATAAATGATCTCTGTCATTTGTCTTTTAATCGCTACTTGTAGCAAAGAGATGAAGACGGAAATGAACACAAAAATAGTTGGATACGGTAGTCCCGTGTTGTACTTTTATCCTACTCACAATTATAATTCACCATTTTATTTTTGTTTTCTTTATTTATTTTTTCTATCACTCTTCCTGTCGAAAGGATCAGTTCACGATTCAAGCTCTGGCGTCGAGGATACTGTACTGACATTGAAAATAAACCCAGGAACCAAATTTGGAACACTTATAAAGCCCATGCTCAGTATATTTGATGTAATTATTTTTCGATTTAATGGCATAATAAAACAACCTGCTTTATTTTTAGCAATAGTTGAAGTCTACAAAACCGAAGGCAATGAAGCATGCTTAAAGGAAGATTACAGCAACGCCGTTTACTTTTATACTGAGGTACTTAAAGCAAACTGCAAGGACGAAGACCTAGCAGTATCCTTTTACTCTAAATATTCCTCCATACAGTGTGCATAGCTGAAAGATGATTTATTTTCGCAACTTGTTATACACCTGCACTTCCTTTACGATCTGGTTACCATTTTTATCGACTGACGGTTCGGTGCTTATTTGAGGGCGGTGCTTATCTAAACTTCTTCTGCGAATTACACAGAAGTACGTGATATTTTCTTAGTATTTCTTTGTTTTGTTCATAAACGACCCCCAAAACACAAACGTTATTTCTAATAAAAGTGAGTTTTTAAAAAGTCTGTGTAGCAATAACAGTGACAACAATATTAACAAGAGAGGATTATCCTCTCTTTAACTATATGTTGCTGGGAGCTTGCTGCGTTTATTACAGTCATACCTGTATCGGCTGTCACCCTTAAGATATGGGCGACCGCTATATATAAGTTTCCTGTAGACTAAACTGGATGTTGAGTTCGTCCAACGCTTGTAGTTCACTCCATTCGATTGCCATGAAAAGGTTAACTGATTGACGATTTCGCTAGTATTCATTTTTCCGTGTACTTTGGAGAACACATAGCAAAGTTTGCTGCATGATTTGATCGTAATCCTATTTGCTGACCTTTATGCACAGGTAAAAAAATAATGGAATCGTGCATTTTGGGAGTCTAAAGGGGGCCGGACCGCATCTGTTTTACAGAGGTGACCACTATGCAGATCAACTTTAGGAGAGTTGTCCAGTAGCCGTAGTATGTAGGGTGACCGCTATATACAGGGCCGTTATATACAGGTTGACTGTTTTCTTTTTGTTTCTAACTTTAGGCTGCTCATAAGGGGCAACGCTCTTCCGATTTGACACGGTACACATTCTTTTTAAAACATTTTTGCTTTCCAAGCCAAAAAGGGGGAGATGTATCTTGTTGTTTTCACCTAGTTGTATATGATATTGATACAACCCCGTAGTAGACTAGAATCACAACAAGATGAGATAAGTTAATTATATTCCACCTAGTTGCAAGTATACTTAACTTCAACTTAATTTCGATATTATTTACACCTTAACAATTTGAAAAGATCGACACGGAAAACACCACGTTGCTTGAACTAAGAAAACTGGCGTTGAAATACGTAAATAAAGCGACGAGTAGAAGAGCCGTGGAGAACGAGGTACTTTGTTTTATTTCTATAAAAGGGCATTTTGAATCGTTTTGCCTTTAAATTGTCGAAGTGACATAAATATTACATATTAATACTTATTGCTGATGATACCATATGGTTGACTCTAATAGAAGAGATTCCATCGATACCACCATTCGTTCCTTTTGGGCGAATGTTAAATACAGTCGAATGGCTGGTTCGTCCTTCTTGCATTGAACTCAGCTGTTTCGATTCAACCAATGATCAGTGATGATGGAACTTGAAAAGGTTATATATGAGATTTCAAGGGTTTGAATTAATGTTGATGGAAGTTAATGTCTATTTTCTACCCGCATATACAGCATTCCCCAACTAAAATAAATATTAGTTCATAATTATAACTAATAGAAAAGACATACTTTCCGAAAAATAATTTCCTTAAAGAAACTTTAGGTACTTTCCATTCAACCAAAACGTCAGCTTGCGGGAATTTTCGGCATTTTACCGTAGCAAATAGAACAGCATTTTTCAAAACTTCCAAAAAAGAGGACAACCTCGCGAGGTATACCCAATTTTTTTTCCCGGAAGTTTTCTTTCCATTAATTTTTGCTCCGGCGATTTCTAGGCAGAATTTTCGTTTGAATGGTTCCCTTTTCGGAAATTCAACAGTTTCCGGAATTTCTGGAAACATGTCCTGGAAATTTCTGTACCATTTGCCTCTGTTTCCAAATTTTCGAAAGGTTTAGTTGAATGGAAAGCGCCCCTTGATTCTCTGTGCGATAACTTTCATAGACGAGAAAATAAATAACGGGGAAGTCAAGGCGGACTGTCAAATATCAGCTCTTGTAGTATCCGTTTAAGAAATAAAGTTCATCAGTAATACCCCTATACTTGAGAGAGCAGGAGAGACTCTGATACTCAGAAACTTGCTGACCGAGCTATATTGTGTGCTAATCTGTTTTCAAAGCCACAATCCCACTCATGCAAGTAATAACAGCGGGATTTTGTATTGCTGGCGATTTGGCTGCAGCAGTATTAGCAGGGTCGTCCGAAATATCAAAGTTAAATCCCCAAGAATAGAGTTGACTGTTCGTATTGCCACAAAAAATCTTGCCGGCTATTTTCTTCCTCACGAAGGGTATAACTTTACATTAAAAACATCTTCTATACCATGACTTGCTTCAAAAGAGGGTTTGTTTTACATTTTTTTATAGGCATGCCCAGGAAGCAAAGGCAAACATGGAAAACCCGAACAAACTTCCAAAACGAATTGGTTGTACAGTAATTACCTTGGAATGAAAGCTTCAAAACGCGGTGATTTTAAAATAGCCCGGGATTACTTCGAGATGTCATTGAATGAAGCCAAACAGATCCGGAACAAAGACGCAGAAGGAGTTAGCTATAACAACCTTGGCCTCGCCTATCATTCTCTCAGTGATTTCAAAAAAGCAATCGAGTTTTATCAGCTGGCTCTTAGAATCGCAAAAGATACTGGAAACAAAGATCAAGAAGCAACTACATACAACAACCTTGGCAGTGCCTATCAGTCTCTCAGTGAATTCAAAAAAGCAATCGAGTTTTATCAGCTGGCTCTAAGAATCACAAAAGATACTGGAAACAAAGATCAAGAAGCAACTATATATAACAACCTTGGCAGTGCCTATCAGTCTCTCAGCGATTTCAAAAAAGCAATCGAGTTTTATCAGCTGGCTCTAACAATCGCAAAAGATACTGGAAACAAAGATCAAGAAGGAACTATATATAACAACCTTGGCCGTGCCTATCAGTCTCTCAGTGATTTCAAAAAAGCAATCGAGTTTCATCAGCTGGCTCTAAGAATAGCAAAAGATACTGGAAACAAAGATCAAGAAGGAACTATATATAACAACCTTGGCTGTGCCTATCAGTCTCTCAGTGATTTCAAAAAAGCAATCGAGTTTTATCAGCTGGCTCTAAGAATCGCAAAAGATACTGGAAACAAAGATCAAGAAGCAGCTACATATAACAACCTTGGCCTCGCCTATCAGTCTCTCAGTGATTTCAAAAAAGCAATCGAGTTTTATCAGCTGGCTCTAAGAATCACAAAAGATACTGGAAACAAAGATGGAGAAGCAACTATATATAACAACCTTGGCCTCGCCTATCAGTCTCTCAGTGAATTCAAAAAAGCAATCGAGTTTTATCAGCTGGCTCTAAGAATCGCAAAAGATACTGGAAACAAAGATCAAGAAGCAACTATATATAACAACCTTGGCCTCGCCTATCAGTCTCTCAGTGAATTCAAAAAAGCAATCGAGTTTTATCAGCTGGCTCTAAGAATCGCAAAAGATACTGGAAACAAAGATGGAGAAGCAACTATATATAACAACCTTGGCCGTGCCTATCAGTCTCTCAGTGATTTCAAAAAAGCAATCGAGTTTTATCAGCTGGCTCTAAGAATCGCAAAAGATACTGGAAACAAAGATCAAGAAGCAACTATATATAACAACCTTGGCCTCGCCTATCAGTCTCTCAGTGAATTCAAAAAAGCAATCGAGTTTTATCAGCTGGCTCTAAGAATGGCAAAAGATACTGGAAACAAAAATCTAGAAGCAACTATATATAACAACCTTGGCCTCGCCTATCAGTCTCTCAGTGAATTCAAAAAAGCAATCGAGTTTTATCAGCTGGCTCTAAGAATCACAAAAGATACTGGAAACAAAGATGGAGAAGCAACTATATATAACAACCTTGGCCTCGCCTATCAGTCTCTCAGTGAATTCAAAAAAGCAATCGAGTTTTATCAGCTGGCTCTAAGAATCGCAAAAGATACTGGAAACAAAGATCAAGAAGCAACTATATATAACAACCTTGGCCTCGCCTATCAGTCTCTCAGTGAATTCAAAAAAGCAATCGAGTTTTATCAGCTGACTCTAAGAATGGCAAAAGATACTGGAAACAAAAATCTAGAAGCAACTATATATAACAACCTTGGCCTCGCCTATCAGTCTCTCAGTGAATTCAAAAAAGCAATCGAGTTTTATCAGCTGGCTCTAAGAATCACAAAAGATACTGGAAACAAAGATCAAGAAGCAACTATATATAACAACCTTGGCCTCGCCTATCAGCCTCTCAGTGAATTCAAAAAAGCTATCGAGTTCCATCAGCTGGCTCTAAGAATCGCAAAAGATACTGGAAACAAAGATCAAGAAGCAACTATATATAACAACCTTGGCCTCGCCTATCAGTCTCTCAGTGATTTCGAAAAAGCAATCGAGTTTTATCAGCTGGCTCTAACTATCGTAAAAGATACTGGAAACAAAGATCAAGAAGCAGCTGTATATAACAACCTTGGCTGCGTTAATCAGTATCTCGGTGATTTGGAAAAGGCGATGGAGCTTTATCAGCTGAGTCTAAGAATCGCAAAAGATACTGGGAACAAAGATGCAGAAGGAGCTATATATATCAATCTCGGTAATTTCTATGCGCATCACTGTGATTTCGAAAAAGCAAGGGAATCTTATCAGCTAGCCAGAAGTATAGCAAACGAGACTGGAAACAAAGATGAAGAACAACGTGGATATAATAGCCTTGCTGATGTTCTTTGGCTTCTTGGCGACTACTCCAAAGCCGAGGAGTGTTTTAAATCCTGTATTGAACTGGTAGAGGAAATGAGAGTCCTCCTTGAAGGAAACGACGAGTGGAAAATCAGCTTTCGGAATGAACGTGATTGCGTTAGTCGTTTAGTGAGACTTCAATTACAACAACGCACTGAACGTAAGACACTCGAGGCGCTTTTAACAGCTGAGAGGGGACGAGCAGAAGCTCTCGTGGACCTCTTGGAATCGCAATATGGCGTCAGGAAATCAATCTGTTCGCTGTCGAAACAGCAGACGGAACTTATCATTTCAAACCATATTTCGTCACCCACGTTATTTCTAATGAATGATACCCAGTCAGTGAATATCTGGATGCTGTTAAAGGGGGGAAAGCTGTATGGCTTTGTGCAAGAGGGAGTTAGTGATGACTTGACATCAATGACTTATCAAACCTACAAACAGATTGATGTGAACAAAAGCCTGTGGAAAAAGATTCGCCCCCAGGAAAGAGATTGAAGACCAGGGTGGTGCTTTGAAAGTATTGTACGACATGGTTATCGCCCCATTTTCACACTCGATAGAAGGTGATGAACTCGTCATTGTCCCTGAGGGTTCATCATTCCTAATTCCTTATGCTGCCCTTGTGGACCAAAATTCCAGGTATTTATCTGAGACGCTTAGAATTAGATTGGTTCCATCACTGACAACCTTAAGGCTGCTGGCAGAATGTCCGGAGGGCCGCCATAGTACATCGGGGGCTCTACTTGTTGGCAACCCATGGGTGGAAACTGTACGCATCAAAGGCTGCAGACCTCTTGCGCAGCTTCCAGGTGCCGAGGAAGAGGTAAAAATGATTGGACAAAGTCTAAACATCGTGCCTCTCACCGGAAAGAGCGCTACAAAAGATCGGGTCTTAAGCGGGCTCAAATCAGTTTCGTTAGTGCACATAGCAGCACATGGCCGTACAGAAACCGGAGAAATTATTTTGTCTCCTAATTTTCCTGGTGCCAAAAGACCTAAAGAGAAAGACTTTCTTTTGACGATGGCAGATGTGTTGGATGCAAAAGTGCACGCCAAGCTTGTTGTGTTAAGCTACGCCAACAGTGGGCAAGGAAAGATCAAAGTCGAAGGCGTGGTTGGTATTGCACGTGCCTTTTTAGGAGCCGGTGCGCGTTCTGTTATTGCTACACTGTGGGCGATTGACGACGAAGCCACTCTTGCTTTTATGAGACACTTTTACGATCATTTATTAGCAGGGCAAAGTGCAAGTAAGTCGCTTCATCATGCCATGAAAAGGATTCGGGAGTCGGAAAAATTCAATGCCGTGAAGCACTGGGCTCCATTCGTGCTGATTGGTGATGACGTGACGTTGAATTTTGGCCAATGAAAGGTGAGGTCCTCACTGTAAGATAAGATAGAAAAATAATCACATGTTCACAGGCCTGAGAAGTGAAAGGTCTTTAACCTTAAGTTCTTAGATTTCTAGCACCTGATCGTTTGGACAGAAAGCCTTTCATTTTCCGTCAGAAGTGCGATTGGGAAACAAAGAACCCCACTGAAAAGTAGTCATTTATTAATCCGCAGATCGACAGAATAAGAATAACACTTTGTACAACTGATGTAATAAACCAAAAAATGGCAAACGAAGATCTAGCTTCATTTGAATTTTCACACCTGAGGTTTTTATTCATGGTAAAAAAAGAATCAATGAAATATAAAAAAATACATAAGCGAATCAAGGTTAAGAGATTTATTCCATCTCTAAGCCGTTAACACTTGAGAGTCTATCACCATTACAGTTTGCACTTGTGTTCGACGTCTAAAAAACATTTCCTTTCATGTTCAGTTAAAGAATTATTCACGGCTTCAAGAATTAATGCACCTGCACGAAGAAAGAGTATTGTGAGCAGGGCAAATTCCCGCCCCCTGGGGTACTCCTAGAAACCTCGGCAAAGTGTTTTTCCTCTCCTGCTTCTGAGACCTAAACCGCTTCTTTCAAAAGTCAAACGAATAAAAACGTACCCAATTCCAGGCCTTTCTTCCAGGGAGCACAAACTTTAGGCTTATCTGATTTCAGACCTGAAATCTATTATCAATTTCAGGTCAAGAGAATCCATATTCCTTGGACCACACATTTCGTAAATCCTCTATTAAGTCCCCCCCCCTCCCCTCTCTAATAAGCCCTAACTTATCAGGGGAAGAAGGTTAATGAGCCCCAACTGCCCTCCCCTCCCCTTATTATTCTTCACTAATAAATGATATACTGTATTTATTCCTCTTGCAGGACGTTGGAATTTGTTTTTCATCCTCAGCTGCATGACCTACAACCATTGTACTTGAGTTTTTCCACTTTGCAGTTCTAGTTCTTTATGAAGAACTGATGCCATTGTCTTAGCTAAACTATATAAGCCCCCCGTCTCTATTAAGCCCCCTATCAAATGAGTTTGAAATAAATAACCCTACTGGGTGGCCTAATAGAGGGTTTACGGTAACTATAGAGCTTATTTAGGGGATTAAGCGTCCAGGCACCCTACCTTTACAAAGAGATGGACCCGATAATAACTTGGTTGTTGCTGTCTTGAATCCATTGCAGGCCAACGAAAGAATTAGATGGATTTCCGATGTACATTTAGAATCGTCTTCACCATCCGGCATCCCCACTGCGTCGCTTTGCTGAGACAGGATCAAGTGATATCATCTTTCATTACAGTTTTACTGGTTGCCATAGCAACAGACGACAAGGAACAGTTTCAATGCAAATTTAGTCTTTAAAAATAACAAAACTGGACCATTATTTTTGGAATTTTTTATTGATTTAAACAAATGTTTTATTTTTTTAAAAAGATAGCAGATAAGTGACAGGAAGCCCCTCTAACAATCCGCTCTACAACCAGTCGTTCTTGAACGGACCATGTGATGAGTTGTTACCAAGTGAACTTTCCCAGCTAGAATAGGTATTAAATAATTGACTTCCAGTATTATGAGAGCTCATAGACTTCATTTTGTTATAGCTTTTAACGTGTACAGCGAAAAATCTTTAGAAATGAGATGCTCATCTTAGTATTTTGGGTCGGCCAAGTTGGGAAAGACGTGTAGATTAAAAAATATGTAGTTATCGTACTACGAAAAAGTCAGAGCGAAAATAAGATACCCCAATCTGGGATAAATATAGTGTAAATATACTCAATATCCGATTTGGACATGCTCATAAAGTATTCTATTCGTTTCCGGTACTATTTATATGGAAGTAATACTAAACTACTTTTATCATTTATAGATGAATTATTTACAGAAAATTTGATCGGTAGGGCCATGACACGAGACAATTCATTTGAAAACGGTTTATGAACTTGCAGAGCTGTAGCAATTTCATGTGAAAGATTCATGGTCGAATACCCCTCCCAAAAGCTGACCAATCTTGCTTTTTTTAGGCGAAAACTTGTAATTAACTTTTCTATAAGAGAAATATAACACATTTTGTTCAGTTTGAGTTTGTTTTCATTTATATTATATGAAAGATAAATCATCTTAAGGGTGTATTTTCAACGTCGACTCTGTTTTCTCCACTTGGTCACACGAGAACGTTAGCTGCGCAGGATAGAAATGGAAACAAGTCACGTGTTCGAATTTTTAATGAACCATAGGTTGTCTACTCCTGTTATTGCGGAGACCCTCGAAACCCGCAAGTTTACGTCCTTTAAAATAGCCAGAGTCCGTAATACAGTTAACCTCCTTTATTTCGGGTGACCCTCGGGATCACAAGTATGTCACGTCCTGTAAAGTTCGTAAACACTCAACTCGCCTTATTTCGGGTGACCCTCGGGATCATGAGTTAGGAGCGAGAGTCCAACAGAGGAGTAACATGAATTAACACGAGAGGGCATATTTACATTGACAACGATTTCCATTGATAAGCAACACAGTTGGCACTGACATTTAGTAGAATCGTGAATCTATACAAAGAGATAAATATGCCGTTGGTCTTCGACTTAACTATAGCATAACCAACAAAAGAGTTTATTGTACGCGTACAGCTCCTTAAACATAGCACGATCTTGATACGCTGTTTACAGTCCCTTGTTTTTGCATAAGATCGTTGAGATCGAAATCGAGTGCTGCTACCGAAACGAGATGGGGGTTGCATTGTGATTTGAAACATATGGTCGCCTGTTACAGAATAATTAGTTGAGGAGATTGGTGCTGGCAAACATCAAAGTTGAAAACAAAGGTGCTGTAGGTTATGTTGGAAGCTCCCTGACCGTGCACAATCCTTTGTTTTTTGTTCAAAAATTGTGACTGAATAAATTAATGCAATGTTTCTATTTATCAGTAAGTTCACAATGATAGCAATGCTATGGAATGTTGTGCACCTAGGGTTTCCCAACCATTACACTTTAATTAACTATGGTTACAGTAACCATTCGATCTCGACAACTTCTTGCTGTTTTTGCTATGTTTTTAGCCATTAATTCGCCTAGTTCCAGCTGCAGTTCTTACTCTTGAAATGAGTGAAGTGTCCGCCATTTTAGTTTTTACAACGGAAACAACTCAATCTCGTACCCGGGTCTTCTCGGTTATCGGTGCATTAACCTGTAGAAGGCTGCATTTTTAACGTCATTTCCTCGTTAAACACAAAATTCTTCCAAATTTGGTCATCAGTAACTGGTTATGGTGAGTTATGCGTGTGCTTTACCACCCAATCAGAATTGGGGAAATATTTTGAATGAATAATAAGCCTTTTTCAACAGAGAACTGTTGAAAAGCTTTAATTTCAGCTTTACTTCTCCACAGTGGCTTTGTCTGTCTCAGTTATCTAGCTGATTTATTTAATACCCTTACAACTTAGAGAAAGAACAAACTGTAGTACTCCTTACGATCTCTATCTAATTACTCCCTTCTAGTCGCAAGCCGCACTGGACCTTTCGAAAGATCTTTTTTTTCCTCTCTACTACCTTGCGGAATGACATTAGTTTTGTCTGGTCTTGTCTCGACAACAACAACAACAATCTATATTTGTACCCACTCTTGTTCTCGCATTTAGTACAGTATGTGTATATCTGAAACACGTGTGTGTTCGATTCGATCAAATATTGTTGCATCACTTGCATGTGCATTCACGTGATTACGGGGACATTAGATGGGCGTGCGAGGGAGAAAGGAAAGTTCCCCTCCTCCCTCACCTCTCGCACGCGGTCTCGCGCTCTAATTACATTCCCCTTAATTCCCTTTCGAACGGCTGCGTGAACGCCTGCCACGCAGGCTAGGAACACAAGGGCCTTAGTGACCACACAGCATGTATATTAGTACGCAGAACAAAGGCATTTCCAAAAATGTGGACAGATTTTAGGAAACCTCGCTATACAGTTCATTAAGTGCTGCTGACCACCGCCACCAAGAGTACGTCTGCGAGCTCGCTTTTGCCCGCCCGCAATGATATGAAGACGGTCTGTTAAAAGGTATGTGCCGAGGTACCAGTTTTCAATGGAAGTGGAAAAACTCTTGAACCACTCGCTCAATAAGAAAGATGAAATATAATACATTCTTTATTTCAAATTGTAACGTCTTATCATTGTATGTAAGACCCTGAAAAACAGAGGCGGATCCAGGGGGGAGAGGGGGGTTTAACCCCTTCTTCTTTTCAAACTTGTCTGTTCAACCTATGTCTATCCTTTTTTTCATACCAAAAATTTTCTCAAGTTACAATTTTCCAGTCTAATCAATCATTCAAGAAGATTGTAGACTTCTTGACTCCTCAATTATCCAAATGCAAAATTTTTTGACGGAGATCACCAAATTGTAAATTCAATCGATTATAATAAATACGGCACTGCAGCTAGATCGGGTGAAAGGCATGCTATTCTGGGAGAAAGACATTCCATTTCTCAAATCCCTTGGAAATTAGGTACGTCAGTAGGAGAACACTCTGGCTGTTAACAGATAGGGAAGGTTCAAAACAACGTTTTTATTAGCACTTGGTGTTTGCGATGAAAATGCTCTCCTAAACATCCATCGCCTTTCTGGTCGTTACCTGCACCCTACCGATCACAAGCGCGCAGAAGCTGAGTGATTTTTTTCACTGAATCAAGACCGGCTCTAGGTCAACAATGGAGCGATTTTCTGATCTCGCAGTGATCACCATGCACCGATCCAAGAGATTCGAGGTAGAAGAGATATGCGAAGCCTTTGTAAAGGCTCATCCAAGGAGGCCCTTTCAAGCTAGTCTGCGGGTAAACTGATTGGTTCTTAACGGCCCTTAATTTTGCTACTGTAACTCCAAAACTGTCCGATTTGACCTGTCCGATAACCAGGAGCTTGTAATCGGACTGGTCAAATCGCACAGTTAAAGAACCGAAGAAAATCATGTAGCAAATGCCACTAGCCAATGAAATTTGACCACAAAGCACATCATCAATCAAAATCAATGAAAAAAAAATGACCAGGTGAGCTGTCCAGCTTCAACTGGAAAGAAAAAATGGATGAAGCTAACTGGTCCAGTGACTTTTATTTACATTAATAAATATTCCACGACTGAGATTCTCCCATTTTGTCTGACACAATTAATCAGTGATAGGACTTCGTGTCATACAATTCAGGGGTAGTCGGGCTCTTAATTTCAAATCGGCTTTGAAATTAGGAGGCCGATTACTCACCGAATTGTACTCCACTCAGTCCTATTACCATTACTAATAGTGCCTCAAATTCCTCTGAAATCAAAATGAAGAAAATCTACATATTCAAACATAACCCTAACCCTCCCCACCCTCCCCCATTCCCTTTGCCCTGGGACGTTTGCCTTCAACTCTCAAACTTACAACCCCCTCTTTGAAAAAATCCTGTATCCGCCCCTGGAAAGCTGTGCCTTCCGAAATATTGGGAAAACATATATATTCCCGACTGTAAAATCAGCCTTGCTTCTTTTGTCTTACATTTTCACTTATTGCTGATTAGATCCTTTTTTTAGGATCCGGTCCTTCTCTTTTGTAAGCTGCTCCTTCAAAAAATTGAACTGATTAAAGAATTTCCTATAAGTAAGGCAATTAGGAAAACGCGTGCGAGGCACGCAAAATTAAAGAAAGACAAGTAGGTGAAAGGTGTCAAACATCGCCTCTCGGAAAAGCTTTTTCATAAATCTTTCCATTTCTGTAAGACAAGAACCCCTTCTTAAAAAGGTCAGTGAAATATGGAGGCCCGTTCTGGTCAAAATTAATATAATAAAATGGCATCACAAATGACTTTTTTGGCCAGTGCAGCATTTATTATGGACCCGTTGTGTATTTTTGTCATCACTACACAGGATTTTTTTAGTGTGTTGCTAATTTTTTTTAGCTGCATGAATTATTTTTTATGAAGGCTGTTTACTTTTTTTATGTTGTTGTATGAAAAAATTTTTCATGCGTACTACAAATAATTTTTTAGTGGTACTGCGAATTATTTTTAATACAAGTATTGAGAATTACTTTTTCATCGTGCTGATAATTACTTCGGCGGAGCGCGAAGTAAAGGATTCGCGACGCTCAGCAATGTATCAAAGTTGCCTTTCTTTGACAAGATTGGGCTTGCAAAGCCTGTACGTTTTCGGTTTTATTCGGCTATTTGACGAAGTGAGAGCCGAATTAGTTCGAGATATCTCGAGATCACTTCGATTTATTCTTTAACTTTTTCGAGGAGTCTCCTCTATTAAATCTTCGGTCCAGAAAACCTCATCACGAACGCACAGACTACTAGGTCCTGACAGATTTTGTAAGAAAGATGAAAACCTCTTTCGTTTTTTTCCCAATGTTTCGTTTCTTTCCACAATGTTTCGCCTTGGCATTCCCTTTGAAAGCACTCCTCCACTTACAAAGTTTTCAAAATGGTCGCCCAAGGAAGTCAAAAACTCGAACCAGTCCACTTCAAATGCAAGGCCCGCAATAACAACTGTAAACCTGAAGAATTGTTATAAAAAACAATACACGTTGTTTTAAATCAGCTTTGCAGTAGTCTTTGGACTTCTTGTTCTTGTCTTTATATTTTGGCTGATTTGATCTCTTTTCTAGAGATCCAACGTTTACAACTCGACTGGATCTTCGTGCAGTTAATTTAAGGCCCTCAATGCATTGTAGGCCAAAAAATAAATTCGCGATACCGCGAAAAATAATTCTCAGCCCAATTAAAAAATAGTTCTTGATATAGATTAGAAAAATAATTCGAAGTACCAATGAAAAATAATTCACGGCATGAATGAAAAAAGTATTCCTATAATTAAAACAAAAATAACTCTTGTTGCCAAGAATAATTACAAACACGCTGAAAAAAGTATTGTTTAGTGATGACAAAAATACACAATATGTCCATAATATTTGCTGTAGTTGGATTAAAACTGACTTGCGGTGCAATTTTATTGTCATGATTTTGACCAGAACGGGCCTTCATACCGAAAGGTAATGATTCTGAAAATAGCAGTATCGAAGGGGTTTTTGAGGGTAATCTGATCAATCTAACGTTGAAATGACGTCATACTTTTGAAGTAACACTTCCGTCACATGACCCGAATGACGATCTCGAGCTCCAAACCAACTTCAAACATGGCGGACAATATATCTGCTGAACATTCCGCGCCTTTGGAACCAGATTCAAGCGAAAATGCGCCTTTGTTACAGGAACAAGAGGATCAACCGGTAAACCTGGGACCTCCTCCTCCATTTGTAGCAAGTAAGTAATTTTTTTTTGTCACGATAAGTTAAAGTTTACTTCGTTGATTTGGAGAAAACTTTCCCTACAGTATCGCCTGATCGATCGCTTCAGTGTTTACTTTCGAGCTGTGTTGCGAAATATGTGTAGTTTGGAACCTAGCATTTTGCGTCAATTTCTTCTACACTTCTGTTCGGTAAATTATTGAAAGAAAAATAAATGAAGAAAGCAGTGCAATTTTTTTACTTCTTTGGGTAGATGTTCACGAAATGTTGTGTGATCGAATGTTATAACACATTAGCATAGGTTTCGCTTCAGAGTGAAACCTGTAGGCTATCTTTGTTTTGGGCCTGCAAAGTTTTTTTTATATCATTAAAGCCATTAAGACAGCGATTTTTCAAACAATCACGTCCCTTCTTATATTGTTGAACAGTTTTTCCTGTGCCCGTAGTGAAAAACGCGAGATAAAACTTAGAATAAACAGGGGCACCCAACGAGGATATAGTTCAAAACCACATAAACATAGCATTGTTGAACGTAATTTAGTATTTAAACGATAGATAAAGGCTTATTTTTATCCCCTAAAAATTTTTCATCTGTTCGGATTTCCTAGCTGAAAGTATAGTGATCCGAAAATTATAGGGATCAAAATTTAGCTTTTCGAAAATTTCAGCCAGAAAAAAGGCTCCCGAAAATTCTAGGTGACCTTTTTAGGGTAAAAATCTGTTAAAAATGGGCAATTATACAATTTTTTGATGTTCGAAAATCCTAGGAGAGGCAGGCAAGCAAGAAATTTTACAGAAAATGATCCGAAAATTCTAGATCTCAAATCGTCTTCCGAACACATAATTTTCCGAAAATTATCGTTGGGTGCCCCTGAATAAAGCTTAGAATTTCGTGAATTTATGGTCGACGTGTGTTGATACGACAATCTTGTATTTCAGTCTTACTTATATTAAAAAGTTACTTGGGACAGATATTAGTCCTTGGTAGTTTTTAGTATTTAATAGTATATGTGTTTGTCTTTTGAAATTCATTCCAAAGTTGGTTTTTACTAGCAAGTACATTATTTTTATGTCACTGTTTGGGTTGAATGCACAGGTCACCGTGTTTCTTCTGAAGTCTGAAATATAATTTTTTTCATCTGCACACTGAACTTGTTTATGTAACTGTTGATATGTTCTTGTTAGTCTGTGGAAATTATGATTAATATGCTTTTTCACATAAATTCAAGATGTTAGTAATATTTTGTATGGTGTACTTATTCTGTACACATTTTAGCTTCACTTCTATACAAAGTGAATAGCATGATATTGGTTTTGTGGAGAAACGTCTTAAATAAATACTCAGTGAAAAAGAAGTAAAAGCTGTGTTATTAAATGCGGAAAATGATAAGTGCATAAGATTAATGACTGTCCACATTCCTACACTTTTAAAGGTGTAGTTATGTTGCTGTTGAAAACCACAAGTACCTGGTAAAATCAGGGCGTGACATGTTGATCGAAATCGATCATCAGAAAGCTAGTCGATAAGTCGATAGTGCTCGATAATTGCCGATTGATTAGTTTAATTTGTCGATAAAAGTCAATAATCACAAAGTTCTCAGGGCTGGCTATCGATTTGTATCGACTTTTATCGATTTCTATCGACATCAACATGTCAAGTGAACGGAGATACTTTGTATAAGCCTTGTGAGTGTAAAAAGTTGTACGGTGCTGATAATGGCAATAAAGCTGAATAAAGTTGCGTTAAAACCTGAAAAAAAAAACAGATGTTATATTCTTCAATCCGCAACCGAATGTTTACCTCAAGAAATCTGAAGAAATGCGCCTTGGTTTGCACCACTTAATAATAATAATAATAATAATAATAATAATCTTTATTTCTTAAGATAAAATCACATATCCTAAGTGACAGTATAAACTCAAAAAACTATTTACATATCATATCTAAAAATTATTCTGTTACTAAAAACGTTCTTAAACCTGTCAGTGTAGATTCTAGGGACAGAGACTGACGTATTTCTAAGATTGTACCTCATGTTCTTTTCCTTAGGTAAAAACTGGAAGAACGGGCATTCGGGGTCATTAGATCTTTTTTTGTAGAGTGTCTTGTCCGCCTTCTAGCAAATCCCTGATATTTACATTCTTGGACATAAACTTTCTTTTCATACACCGGTCTAAAAAATTCTTGCACCACGATTGTTTTGTTCAGCATTGGCACACACCTTATGTATATATCTTTGAAAGGACCCTGAGATGGCGGGAAAATGCTATGATAAATAAAGAACAAATGCAGACAAAGTACTCAGATGTAATTAACTTCTTTTCAATTATTGCCAGTTATTGTTGTTCACTGGATCCACCACTGTATTGTCCAGGCTTGTACAGGCCATTGCTTTGCTTTTGTCCTTTGGATGACTAGGAGCAAAATGGAGTACATCTCCCGGTACTTTTGTGTTCGGCCTCTAAATAATTTCGGTGATGAGTTGGGGTGAGTTGTTTCATATTGGAGTTTTTACTGGGAAGAAAACAGAGGCTACTAAGAATAATAAATTCACTTTGTTGTAGCTTATCTACTCAGCTTTAGTTACAGTGCAAAATAAAACATTGAAACATACATAGCTCTACACATGATCGTTTTTTATCTTTCGGTACTTTTCGATAAAAGTCGATTGAAATTGAACTGTAACACCAAAAGTCGATCAAAGTCGGTAATCACAAGAAATTTTGTGATCGCCTTTTATCGATTTCCAATATTTGTCGATTAATTAGTATCGACTTTTATTGACAACGATAGATTTTTATCGACTATTTGAATTATTGACATGTTATGTCCTGCTGTTTGGGTTGAATGCACAGGTTTCCGTGTTTCTTCTAAGGTCTGAAATATAATTTTTTCCATCTGTCCACTGAACGTGTTTATTTAACTGTTGATATGTTTTTGTTAGTCTATGGAAATTATGGTTAATATGCTTTTTCACATAAATTCAAGATTGTAGTAATATTTTGTATGGTGTACTTATTCTGTACGTGCTTCCCATCTATACAAAGTGAATAGCGTGATATTGGTTTTGTGGAGAAACAACTTAAATAAATACTCAGTGAAAGAGAACTAAAAAGCTGTGTTATTTAATGCAGAAAATGATAATTATGTGTATAAGATTAATGACTGTCCACATTCCTACATGTAGTACAGTAGCAAACTTTTATAGGTGTACAGCTGTAGTTATGTGTCTCTTGATAACCACAAGTAACTGGTAAAATCCAGCCAGGTCTGAAAATTGCAGCAGTGACTCCAGTGTGCCATGTATTATTTTGTAATTTGGTGTGCCAAAATTGACACTTCTATTTTGATCCAACTCTGAATGTTTGGATGGCTTTCACAAATTACAGTTTCTAAACCTTAGGGACTACAAATGCAATTTTCAGTTTTACATGGTATTGATGTTCATTATGTTGTAGGTAAAATTTGTTCTCATTTTGAAATGTTAGTTATTCATTCAGAACCCTAGCAAGTAGCTAGCCCTAGAAGGTTGAATACTGAGTTACTTACATTTACACAGGAAAACCAGAAATTCTGAAGTTCACACCATTCTGTCAATCTTGTTTTCTCTCTTCAAACTGCTTTTTCTACATGTAGTGCAAGCATCCATTTATTGATAAACTGATGGCTATAACTGAGATGTCTGTACCAAGTGCATGGCTATTAGACCTGAGTAGTAAACTGTGTCCTAGCACCATGCAGCACATACTCAGAAAGGATCTACAGTCGACTCTCTCTTAACGGACACCTCTATAAGACGGACACCTCTGTAAAACAGACACATAGAGTTGGTCCCTGCCTTTCTTTACTCCTTTTATTTGACTCTTTATAACACGGACACCTCTCTAAGATGGACACTTAGCACCGGTCCCGAAGGCGTCCGTCTTAGAAAGAGTTGACTGTAACTCAATTCATGTAGTCTCTCTCTTTTGTCATTTGTTTCACGTAAGGCACATGAAAGAGACTTGAATTCTGGCTAGGCGGTATCTGTTGTTAGTTTTTCTTTTTAATTTGTTTTGCATGTGTCGAAAAAGACTTGAATTCTGGCTAGGGGCCTGCGCAGTAATATATTGTAGGGTAAGATGATAGGATTTACTTAATGTTAAGACATAGATAGATTACAATTTTACTTCAAATATTGTAGTTATAGGTTTTCTAAAAAACAAAATTAGCGTAGGATACGATGTTAGATTTTACATAATTGTTAAGAGATAGATCGATTGCAATTTTTCTTCGAAGATTGTAGTTAGGTTTTCTGAAAAACAAAATTACCATAGGATACGATGTTAGGATTTACATAATTATTAAGAGAGAGATTGACCGTTGGTGTAAAAAATGTATTTAAGCTTATATAAATAAAGTTTACTTCGTTGAGATTATTTATTAATGTGGATCATATGTCGTGTGCAACGCAGTATGAGATGGTTTCAAATAAAGTAGTTTTTGGAGACTATGCAAATTTGCGACGCGTAGCTTGCCGCTGAACAGGACTCCGCTAGTTGCCAGTTTTGTATAGAAACAAAGTATGTAGTTTGCTGACTACTATCTTCCCGATATAAACAACAATGTATTTAGCTTATACATGTATACAGAAAGGTTATATCGTTAAGATTATTTATCATATGTTGCATTCAAATAACATAGTTCACAACTTCACATTTTTGGAGACTATGCAAATTTGCGACACATAGCTTGCCGCCGAACACGTCTCCGCTAGTTGCCAGTTTTGCATTGAAACGAAGTCTGTCGTTTGCTGACTACTATCTTCCCGATATAAATAAAATACAGTTTACATGGTCAAAGTTTAACTGAACGAACAATACACCTGTTGGTTTCATATGACACAATTCATGTGTTTGGAGTGTGTGCGAATTCGCGTAAACTTAAACTTCGCTATAAAAACAAAAAGACTCGAGCTTATCGAACTTGAATGCTCCGCCTCTCTGTTTATTCCTCATATTCATGCAAAGATTAGTTTATCAGTACCAATGATTTCCTGGTTGACAAAAGTTTTGGAGTTTAGCCGGCAAACAAGTTATTCGATTCAGTGTAATAAATGTCTAGCACCAGCGACGTCTGATTTACGATTCTCTTCCGTAGTTTCAGTTTTCGATCTCACAGTTATTTAGTTGAGGTTTCAGCTCCCTGTCAAAAATCAAATACATCATAGTCAATATTGTTCACGGGAGATCAATCGACTATAATTTATGCCAGAAATTTCCGGTTCAATGATTCTCGCGCTACGCGATTCTCATCGTGCGCTACGAGAATCGCGTTGCGCAGGAAACGAGATGCTACAGGTAACTTACTTTTGAGTGGTACTGTAAAATGAAAAAGACTTTACAGGGTGATTTAAAATTTTCTTTTCTTTTCAGGCACAGCTCCTCCTGCTCCCGGTACACCCCCACCAGCCTATTCTGAGATGCCACCACCATATACCCCACCGTTTTCAGTGAACACTGAACCGTCAGTGATCTGCCGTGTTTGTCAACAGCTTATCTACATAAGAGGAAGGGAACATCAGCGTGTCGTTAAGTGTGGAAACTGTCAAGAGGCCACGGTAAGTGCAGGAACTTTTAGTTTTACTGTAACAATTCAGATTTCTATCAGACATTCCCACCTATAATATTATATAAATTGCAAACTGTTGTCATTTCCCAAGTTTTGATAATGTGCATACACCTTAAGGGGAAAGAATTCTGTTGATTGCTGTAATAGCTTGTGCATGTAATGGAAAAAACTTTCAACTTTGTGGAAAGAGAACATGGCATACTCCCACAGCTTTAAAATTAAAAGAACAAATTCTTGACCACTAAAAAAATGATGAAGGGTTATCCCCAAACTGATTTACTCTTACACAATGTTGTGAAGGGAGCAAAAAACTCACATTAAAAAAAGACATTAAAAAATCACATTAGAGTGTAGAGAGTTTGTTAAATATTTAGGGGTTCTGATAGACTACAAACTTTCTTGGAATAAAGACATTGACGCAATTCTTTCAAAAATCAGTAGAACTGTTGGGCTGTTATCGAAATTGCGACATTTTGTTCCCTTTAGCACACTTATTTCCATTTACATGTATCACTCTCTGAGATAGCACCCTATCTTCGATATGGTCTAATTGCATGGGGTCAAGCAAGCAAATCACAACTAAACAAACTTCTAGTTTCACACTCTTTGCTTTATTCACTTTGCCAAACTGCATGATCATGCCATTCCTCTCTTTATCGATACAAAAATATTACCAATTAACTGATTCTCTATTATCAGCTACTAGCAGAAACAATGTCTGACATGAGAAACAACTTAGTACCTACATGTACAAACATTCAGGAATTGTTCCTTCCACTTTCTCGTGTACATTCATACGGCACTAGATCATCTACAACTGTACATCTCAAAACTTTTATATAAAAAATTGAATCTTGAAATCCCAAAAAACTCTTTCTCAAGACTTGGTGCCAAATTATGGAATGAGAGACCGACCAAGTTGCACACACTTTCAAAACACAAATTCAAATGTAATATTTGTGCATCATTGCTTGATATACTGGAGACTGGCAATACTCATTATGAAACAGATGAAATTATTCTTAAAATGAAGAAAGCAGAACCAATTTTTTTGTAATCCTGCCTATAAAAACAGCGAGCTAATGTTTTCTTTTCTTTTCTTCCTTATAGTTTTAAAGGCATCTTTTTCATATTATGCTTTTCTTCATAACATTATAATTTTTGCTATTAGTTAACCGCTCCATATTTATTTGAAAACTAATGAATCTCTCTTGCTTTCTAATTTTTTTTCTTTACCTTAATTTAATTGCAGTTATTTTCTTTTTGTATCATTCTTGGCCCACCCAGACTAGCTACAGATATTTGCGGTGCCAGGACACTTATAAAAATATATTTTTAGAAAATTTATAATAAGGTCATTGCATCATTATTTTGTTTTGAAGACAGTTTCTTACTGTGTACTTTGATTCTGAACTCTTTTATAGCCTATAAAACCTCCACCTGCTGGCAAGAAGTACATACGATGTCCTTGCAATGCCCTGCTCACTTGCAAAGTCTCTTCTGTTAGAATATCTTGTCCAAGAGCCAACTGGTGAGTACCTATTAACGTCAACTTGTTCTCAGTGCTCAGTATGTCAATAGACATGCAGTATTTAAAAAAAAAAAAACGTAAGGTGAAGGTACGGCGTTGTTGGTGGAAGTGCTCTTACAGTAGCTTTTCCAGCCAGTTTACAGGCAACCTTACAGTCCTGATGAACCCTTTAAGCCCCAAGATCCAAATACAAAATAATTCTCCAGACTGAGCCCCATACATTTGTTTGAAGAAAAGTTGAGAGAATATGGTTTAAGATCAAAGCATTCTCCATTTGGTAGTCAGTTTAATAATTCTCATAACCAGTACTCTTGATGATCTGCTGATGTTGTTAGGAGAAAATTGATGTTGGTCACTCTTGTAAAGAGGGCCTGTTAGGATAAAATTCCAGCAAGCAACATGGCCTTGAAACAGCGACATGCAAGACTAGATAAAATGGCAACAAACAACATAAAGATGGGATAATACTGACGAGGACATGGCTGTCTCCTAAAAATGGGAAATGACTGTATTAACAATTCAAACCAGGGATATTAACCCCCTTTAAGAGGGCCTCATTAGATACCCAAAGTCAGTGGTAGGGTACAAGAAGTTGGCTACCGTTTCTAAACTACCGGTAATAAGCTCTGCAGTGTTCAAGAGCAGTGCTTATTCCAGTGCGGTGTTTATTTGAAAGTTATTGAAAGTTGGACATGATAAGGGGCAATAAATGTCTTTTGATTTGATTATATCAGGGCTGCGGTGCTTATTTGGGGCAGTGCTTATTTTCTTTTTTCTCTCCAATGCAGTGCGTAATCGTGGGCAGTGCTTATTCAAGTAAATACATTTTGTACATTATCTGCAAAAAGGACTGGAGATTTAAACATGGGATGACTGAGAAACAAATCCAGATAGGGGTTTGAGGGGGGACTTAATCCTGGCTCCACTGGATTGCATGTCCGACGTGCTGAACACTCCTCCATGCTGCATTCATTTTCGCTAACTAGTCCCAATCTGTGGAACAAACTGTGGAAAGGTGTATTTATTTATTGTTATTAATATTATTATGTTCTTTTTAATCTTTCAGCAAGCGAATAATAAATCTTGCTCCAGCTCCAAGTGTGCCTCCAACTGTGACTTTGCCCTCTGTGCATACTACCCAGTTTCGAGTCACTTGTGGCCACTGTAATGAAATCTTTGTGGTATGTTCAAACTCTTCTGCATACATGTACATGTATATTAGATACAACTCCTTAGCCCATATTCTGCCAAAATATTTTTTAAAAATCTTTTAAAAGTTAAAAGTCCACATGGAGTTCTTAACTTCATTGTTTGGAAAAATCCTAAGAACAAATTTTGCTAAATTATGTAGTAAATTAATGTTTTAAAGAAATAACTCTGCTGCTGTACTTTTATATCAAGGTTCCTTAGTGGCATAATCTTTTAAACAGCCACAAGAAATTGTCATTTATTTACATCTATAAGATCAATGTGCCCTAAGAAAAAAATAATAATAAAGAAAGCCCATAGCTCTCAGCCTGTGAAAAAGAGGGTTCCTGGAGCATTTTGAAATTTCCTGGTCTCCCAGTGGCAACCAGACATGTAGATGCTACAGTGTGTATATCATGATAAACAAAAGCAGGGCCTTGTGCTAACCTTGTAGCTTCCAAAATTATTGGTAAAACTTTGTATTTCATTAATACATGACAGACTCATTACCAGAAGTATAGTCTTTTATCAGTTACTGAAGATTTGACTAGGCATTTGATTACCATTATACATGTTAGTTTCATACCACACAATGGTGTAGCACTCTTCAGATAAAATATTGATAGCCTGATGGTATAGCTGTAGATTACAACAGTACACTGATTATAAGTGAAATTTAAAATGCGGTTACTAAGGATACAACATTTCTGTGGGTTCTATTATGTTAACCGAAGTGGACTTGAAATTTTTCAAGAGAAATATATGTGCTAGCATGTCTACACAAAGATATATGTGGAAAAAATCATTTATTTTTGTTACATTAAATGGCTTAAATTTACTTTTTCTATTATTCACTTCACCAGTTTCACACAACAAATCACCTGGCTAGATGCCCTCATTGCCGACGAATGTGAGTAAAATAATTATTTAACAATTATCGAATGAGACTGAGTATCATCATTCTGAAGAATTATGGAGAGGCTTCGGCTGATAATGTCCTCGAGATCTCCATAATTCTTCAGACAATATGCTTTATTACTCATTCAAAAGAATTTGTATTTTAAAAACAAGCTGAAACAGTCATGCTTACCTCCTTCCATGTTAAGTTCAACTTTGATAGTGCATGTTCTTGCTATGTTTTTAGCCAATAGTTTGCCTAATTCTTCCTCATGAAGCAAGTGAAATGTTCTGCCGTTAATTTTTTGCACTCACTAGCAAAACAAATCAACCTCAGCCCCAGGTCTTCTCTGTTAACGGCTCAATAATCTGGCAGTTTTGCTTTATTATTGACGTCATTTTTAACATCTTCTGAAATTCTTCCAAGTTTAGTCAACAATAGCTGGTTATGATGAATTATGCTTGGGATTTCAAGCAGTCAGAAACTGAGAAATATTTCTAATGATAATAAAAATTATTATTATTTTCTTGTACGGAATTTGGAAGATATCTCTATTTTGATCACTGACAGATGAACTAATTTTGGTTGATATTAAATTGTACAAGTCTAGATTTCTATCACCATTATAACTGGTTTACAGTTTTTCAATTGGTAATTTTTATTTCTCTCTACCTCAGATCATCTGTTGGGCCTCGTTTTGCGAAGACACGTGCTATGATATTCGCCGTCATTGGGTTCATATTTTTAGCTGCTGGAATTGGGGTGACTGTAGGGACGCTAGACTTGGCTGAAAGATCAGGAGGTAAGGACTAACATAACCCTCCCCAATAATCATGTACACTTTCATCTTTCAAGATTAGTGAAGTTGGTTAGTGTGCGGCCTTCTGTGTGGTAGGTCCCGAGTTCCATTTCCAGGTGTGACCTCAAGTCCTCCTTTCACCTTCTTTCCTCTCCTTGTAGCTTTTAGTAGCTTTAAATACCTGTAAAATGGAGCACTGATGAAGACAGGGGTAAAATGAGTGTACCATCAGCCTCAGATTTGCTAGTCCAATGACTATTTCAAGCTACCCAACATAAAATTCCCTTTTTATTTCACTTTTTGCATATTTTCTTTGTCTCTATTATTTTTAACAGAGATACCTTGAAAATATTAGTGAAAATAAAAATGCATATTATTTGAGGGTCAATGTATTTACCTGTTGCATGAAAGTACTAATAATATTGGGGACACTACTGGAGATGGGACAGCCATTTTACAAGGTCATCTGAGCCATGCAAAGGTGTAGCTGTTTTCAGGGCAAAGGCAGTACCTCCATTTATCAGTTATTTTAAGACCCAGAGTATTGGTCGCGCTACAGGAATCAAACTCGCGACTTCCCGCTTTGCAGTCAAGTGCTCTATCAACTGAGCCGATCCTGCCACAGATTGGTTTTCAGGGGTTCAGCCAATAAAACTCTTACCACTGGAAAACCAGTATGGCTGTTCTTCAAACTCTAAAGCAATAACGACACTTGTAATGAAGTAAAATTCATCATGACACTTTAAAAGAGATTACAATCAACTCTCTGTTATTGGACACCTCTATAAAATGGACACCTTGCTAAAATGGACACCTTGAGTTGGTTCCTGCCTTACTTTACTAGTTTTTTTATTTGACTCTCTGTGAGATGGACATCTGTCTAAGATGGCCATTTATTGCCAGCCCCAAAGGTGTTCGTTATAGCCAGAGTTGACTGCAGCAGAACGTGGCATTTTCTAACAAACACTGTTATGTTTATGTCTGTGTAGGCTAGCTCTGCTAGCGTTCTTTGGTGTGTATATTGAACGAAGAATAAAACTCTAATACATTGATCTTTGCTTTGATTGTAATAGGTATCTATGTGGTGTGGATTGGAGCCTTTGTTGCTGGTATTCTTAATCTAATCAGGAGCTGCTACTACTGTACACTGACTGTCAGTTCAATTGAAGGAGAGCCATAATGACTATCTGATAAAGGTGAAGAACAAAAAACAGCATGTTTTTGCATGCAAACTAAAATGCACTGACACGACATACTTTAGTGGAACAAGCCCAACTAACTCACTTTTATCAATGTCTTCTCCATGAATATAATGAGCTGTTAATTAAGGAAACGGTTACTAAGTTTAACCCTTATTTAAGTCTCAAGAGTGATCAACATACATTTTCTCCTAACAAAGTCAATAAAATCAACAAGAGAAAAGGTTTTGAGAGTTAATAACATGATCACCTTTTTTAAAGATAAGAGTTGTTTGATCTTTTATCAAATTCTCTCAACTTATTCTTAAAGAAAATGTATGGAGTTCAGTCTAGAGAATTTGTTTCTGGATATTGGAACTTAAAGGGTTCAGCACTGAGTTCTTTATTTCTTCTTAGTAGCCCAAAAAATCATCCAAAAACCTAAATTTCTTTTTGTAAAATCATAAGAAGTAAACAGTACCATGTAAAAGTACTGGTGAAGAGGTTCCATTTGAATGGTAACGCTATAGGTTTTTATCAACACAGGCAAAAGGTAATGACAAAATCTCACCATAGCTTGCCAGTCTAGAAGTCAAAGGGTTCAAAGTTACCTTTTTGAAAATTACCATAATAATTAATTTTTGTAGAGTCTTTTTTCCTTCCTCTTTCATTACATAACAAGAACCAAAACATTAATGTTTGTGTTGTATGTTATAATTTTGCAGTTAAACATTATTTTTTTGGTACGGGCACGATAGGTCTGTATTTTCAAGGTCCATACTATAGGTTTTTTGTACAGTAGAGATTTTATATACGGTAGTATTTTTGGACTTTACCCTTGTAAGTCCTAAGAGTTTCCAATGTCAACTTTCTCTTAGCAATGTCAATATACAGCTATTTTGAGAAGGGTTGTCAGAAAAAATTGTGCACGCAACAATTCCAAAAGGTAATATGGGATAATTTATGATCAATACACTGTTCCTAACGACTGTAGCTGTTGAACCTACTTTTGTTACTTTTTCTTTAGCACTCGCAAACATATGTCCGTGGCCTGCTGTGCCATTCTTTCAATTTTCTTTGAAGAACAGTGCACTCAAAACCACCCACAATCCCTTTCGGGATTGTCACGTCCACTTTTTTCGGCACCATTTCTGGAAGTAGCTGTGTATAATCAAGAGGAAAGGTTCTCCCTATGGAAAATGTGTTGATCGTTTGTCAAATTCTCTCAACAAATTCTTTACAGAAACGTATGGAGGTCAGTTTGGAGAATTTGTATCTGGATTGTGGGATTTAAAGGGTTAAAGAATTGCCTGACATATCAACTTAAATAATTAGCAAAACACTAGTAGACTGGGGTGCTCTTATTAAATAAGAAACAAATTTGGTTGGAGTTTGTCCACAAGGAGTGGTTGGATCAAACTTCGTTAAGTGCAAAAATTAACAGCAAAATAGCAGAAAGGCTGAAAATCGAAAAACGAAAGTTAAAATTTTGTTATTAATATGAATAAAACTAAAATGTTAACAGCATTATTAGAATGTACATGTACTACTAATTGCTTTCCTGTACTATTACTGTATTTTAGTATTTGTCCAAGTGCATAATGCTTTTAGACTGAGGTTTTAGATTATAAAGATAAAAGTATAAACAAAAGTCACAGATACAAAGACCTGTGAACAACCAGTTTAGGTTCTTTAATGTTGACTCAGAGCCCAGAAAATTGTTAAAATAATGATAACTGGGGTTGAAGAGGAATGTGCCCCTGGTTATTGCTGGTTCGAAATGTGAGCATTATTGTGCTTTATATTACTTCAAGTGTGAGCTCTATCAATATACTTTTGCAAGTCACCATCATAGCCTGAATTTCAGACATCCCTTCAAGTCCATACTCGCTGAGGCAGTCTGAAATTCAGGCTATAATCACAATCACAGATTAATTAAGTGGACAGACACCTTATGTCCACTGAGGCTAAACTGAGTTGTTCGCATTGCAATTAAAAAACAGTAATAATAGTTTTGAAAAATAGATAATCATTTCTAGCCCTTGGAATTGTTAATAAAGTTTTCAAGATAACTCTTTGGTCACATTAAATCAATTGTACACTAAAAACAATCCGTTTGCGTGAGTGTTGTGTATGTTATAAGTACTTGGTCAACAGCATGACCGAGAAGTACTCGTTGACCACAAACTGACCCCAGCCGGGTCTCCTACCTCACTACAGCCTGAGGGATGATCCTAAAGTACAACGGAAGATAGCCTGCGTAGCAGGCGTCGAAAGGGGTAGGGGATGGGGAGGAAGGGGAAAAGGGCGCGCTTTTCTCCCTTCCCTTTTTGCGCCTGCCAAGCAGGCTAAACGGAAGATCTATTGCTGTGAAAAGTCTGCGAAAGAAACGCCTCGGTGATATTTCAACACACTCCCTCCCCCTTTTTGTATTTTATCCCCAAGATTATTCGGGATCCTGCGTTAGCCAAACAAGCCGTGATCTTCTTATCTTTGTCGATAAATAAATTTTTGCTTTCATTAATCGGTTCAAAATTGGTTCAAAGCACAGTATCCCAAATTATTGTAACGTCAGATGGTTCTCTTTCTAGCAAAGGTCTTATTCGTCCTAACCAGAGATCAGGCCCAATTTTAGCAGTTGTCATTTCCTTTCACCTTGCCCGCAGGAATGTTATTTACAAAGCGAAACGAAAATTGAGCCTGATCTCGGGTTATATTCGTCCGAAAAAAATGCGTCAGTCAATGTTCACCTGCGCCCAGTCCCCCACGGACAACTTCCAATATATTATCGTCGACTCTCATTAGTCTAACTCCGATCGATCCGATTTTGTCCATGTTGTTGACACACACTACGTCTGGACTACCCGTGGTTAACCCACTCGCCTCTAAAATTTTGCCGAAAATCGTGTTTTCAAGCTAATAGAGCGGTTTTCTAGTAACTGACGAGCTATCAACATCTACAACTTACCACAAAGCTGTTTACAGCTCATACAAAGGGCTTTTTGATCAAGATGCAAAATCAGTCTTGACCCAGAGCTCTTCTGGATTTCCTCCCGTTTAAGAAGAATAAAGTGTAACGGGTGGTTTTCGTTGTGTAGTCTTGTAACGTAGACCTCTGACAAAGGTGGACTCGTGTCTCAGTTAACGTAGTGAGAGAAGGTGCGCATAACGCCTCGTAATTACATCTGGGAAAAATGATGCGCATCGCCTTTCTTTGATTGCTCTCGATCTTAGAAGCCAGAAATTCAGGTATGTTTAGCCATACAGGCGGAGAAAACGTACCCTAGAATTAGGCGAACAATGGTTACGAACACTTACAATACTACTGACTTAAACATACTAGAGGGCGTTAGAAGAAGATAAAGAAGGTTGCAAGGGGGTTACAAAAAGTTACAGAGGATTAATGGGGGTTACAAGGTTTAACAAAGGGTTACAAGGAATACAAGGGGTCACAGGGGGTTACAAAGGCTTACAAGGGTATACAAAGGGTTACAAAGGGTTAGCGCGAGTTAAAAAGGTTACAATGGGTTACAGGAGGTTACAGGGGGATACAAGGGGTTAAAAAAAGTTACAGGGGGTTAAAAAGAGTTACATAGAGTTAAAAGGGATTACAGAGGTTTACAAAAGGTTACAATGGGTTACGAAGGGTTACAAGGGGTTACAAACGGTTAGAAAGGGATACAAGAGGTTACAAAGGGTTACAAAAGGTGACAGTGTTACAAGGGGTTACAGGGAGTTAAAAAGGGTTACATAGGGTTACAGAGGGTACAGGGGGTTAGAAAGGATTACAAGGGGTTACAAAAGGTTACAAGGGTTACAGGAGGTTACAACGGGTTACAAGGGGTAACAAGAGGTTACAGGTGGTTACAAAGGGTTACATAGGGTTACAGGCGGTCATAAAGGGTTACAATGGGTTACAAAGCGGTTGGGGATTGAAAGATGTTAAAAAGTTTCAGGGTAGAAAGAATTACAAGGGGTTACAAAGGGTTGCCAAAGGATACAAGGGGTAGAGGGGGTTACAATGGGTTACAAGGGGTTAAGAGGGGTTACTAAGGGTAACATAAGGTTAAAAAAGGTTAAAAAGGGTTAAAGGGAGTTACAAGGGGTTACAGGCGGTTACAAGGGGTTAACAAGGGATACAAAGAGTTACAAGGGGTTACAGGGAGTTACAAGGGGTTTCAAGGGGTTACAAAGAGTTACAAGTGGTTACAAAGAGTTACAAGGGGTTGCAAGAGGTTGCAGGGAGTTACAAAGGGTTTCAAGGAGTTAAAAAGAGTATCAAAGCCTTACGGGGTTACAGGGGTTAGAAAGGGTTACAAGGGGTTACAAAGGGTTACAAAGGATTACAAGGGGTTACAAGGGGTTAAGAGGGATTTAAAAGGGGTACAGGGGGTTACAAGGAGTTACAAGGGGTTACAAAGGGTTACACAGGGTTACAAAAGGTTACAGGGGGCTACAATGGGCTACAAAGCGTTACAAGGACTTACAAAGAGTAACAAGGGGTTACAAGGGGTTACAAAGAGTTACATAGCGTTACAAGGGGATACAGGGGGTTACATGTGGTTACAAGAGGTAAAAAAATTACAGGAAGTAAAAAAGAATTACAAAGGGTTACAAGGGATCACAGGAGATTACAAAGGGTTACAATTATGTTACAAAGGGTTAAAGGAGCTTAAACGAAGATACAGGGCGTTACATAGGGTTACAAGGGGTTACAGGGGGTTACAAAGGGTTACAAAGCGTTACAAGGACTTACAAAGAGTAACAAGGGGTTACAAGGGTTTACAAAGAGTTACATAGCGTTACAAGGGGATACAGGGGGTTACATGGGGTTACAAGGGGTAAAATAACTTATAGGGAGCAAAAAAGAATTACATAGGGTTACAAGGGATCAGAGGAGGTTATAAAGGGTTACAGTATGCTACAAAGGGTTACAGAGGCTACAAAGGGTTACAGGGGCTTAAAAGGGGATACAGGGGGTTACATAGGGTTACAAGGGGTTACAGAGGGTTAAAAAGGGTTACAGGGGGTTAAAAGGGGTTACAGGGGGTTACAGGGAAATATATAAGACTGCAAGAGGTTTACGAAGGGGGTTAAAAAGGGTTACATGGGGTTGCAAGGGGTTAAAGGGGGCTATAAAGGGTTACGAGGGGTTACAAGGGGTTAAAGGTGGTTACAAAGAGTTACAAGGGGCTACAGAGGGTTACAGGGGGTGGCACCAGGTTACAAGGGGTTACAAAGGGTCACAAAAGGTTACAAATGGGTTACAGGGGGTTACAAGGGGTTACAGAGAGTTACATAAAGTTGCAAGGGGTTACTGGGGGTTACAAAAAGTTACAAGGTGTTACAGGGGGTTACAAAGGGTCACAGGGGGTTACAAGAGGTTACCTGGGGTTACTAAGGGGTTACAAAGGGTTTAAGAAGGTTAGAGGGGGTTACAAAGGGTTACAATAGGTTAAAAAGGGTTACAAGAGGTCACAAGGGGTTAAGGGGATTACATAGGGCAACTAGAGGTTACAAAGGGTTACAACGGGTTACAAAGGATTACAGGGGTTACAAGGGGTTACAGGGGGTTACATAGGGTTACAATGGGTTACTGGTGGTTACAAAGGGTCACAGCGGTTTACAAAGGGTTACAGGGGGTTACAAGAGGTTACAGGGGGGTACAAGGGGTTACAGAGGGTTACATAGGGTTACAAGGGGTTACTTGGGGTTACAAAGGGTTACAAGGGGTTACAAGGGGTTACAAAGGATTACAAGGGGTTACAAAGGGTTTCAGGGGGTTACAAGCGGTTAAATGGGGTTACAAAGGGTTACAAGGGGTTTCAAAGGGTTACAGGGGGTTACAACAGGTTACTGGGGGTTACTAAGGGTTACAAGGGGTTACAAAGGGTTGCAAGGGATTACAAAGGGTTACAGAGGGTTACAAAGGGTTACAAAGGGTTGCAAGGGGTTACAAAGGGTAACAGGGGGTTACAAGGGGTTAAAGAGAGTTATATAGGGTTGCAAGTGGTTACTGGGGGTTACAAAGGGTTACAAGAGGTTACAGGGGGTTAAAAAGGGTTACAGGGGGTTACAAAGGGTTACAAGTGATTACAACGGGTTACAGAGGGTTACAAAGGGTTTCAAAGGGGAACAAAAAGTTACAAGGGGTTAAAGAGGGTTACATAGGGTTGCAAGTGGTTACTGGGGGTTACAAAGGGTTACAAGAGGTTACAGAGAGTTAAAAAGGTTTACAGGGGGTTACAAGTTGTTGAAGGGGGTTTCAAAAGGTTACAAGGGGTTACAAAGGGTTACAAGGGATTACAAAGGGTTACAGAGGGTTACAAACGGTTACAAAGGGTTACAAAGGGTAACAAGAAGTTACAAGGGGGTTAAAGAGGGTTACAAACGGTTACTGGTAGTTACAAAGGGTTAGAAGGTGTTACAAAGGGTTATAGGGTGTTACAGAGGGTTACAGTGGGTTACAAAGGGTTACAAGGGGTTACAAGGGGTTACAAAGGATTGCAGGAGGTTACAAGGGGTTACTGGTGGTTACATAGGTTTACAATGGGTTACTGGGGTTACAAGGGGTTACAGGGGGTTACAAAGGGTTACAACGAATTACAAAGGGTTACAGGGGGCTACAAGGGGTCACAGAGGGTTTCATAGGGTTGCAAGAGGTTACTGGGGGTTACAAAGGGTTACATGGGGTTAATGGGAGTTACGAAGGGTTACAAGGGGTTACAAAGGGTTACAGGGGGTTACCGGGGGTTACTTATAGGGTTACATAGGGTTACAAGGGGTTACTGGGGGTTACAGGGGGTTACAAAGGGTTACAAGGGGTTACATTGGGTCACAAGGGGTTATTGGGTGTTACAGGTTGTTACTGGGGGTTACAGGGGGTTACATAGGGTTACAGGGGGTTACGTATGGTTACAAGGGGTTACTGGGTGTTACAAAGGGTTACTTTTGGTTACAAAGGGTCACAAGGGGTTACAAAGGGTTATAAGGTGTTACAGAGGATTACAGTGGGTTACAAACGCTTAGCAAGGGTTACAAAGGGTTACAAGGGGTTACAAAGAATTACAGGAGGTTACAAGGGATTACATGTGGTTACATAGGGTTACAATGGGTTACTGGGGTTACAAGGGGTTACAGGGGGTGACAAAGGGTTACAACGGATTACAAAGGGTTAGAGGGGGTTACAAGGGGTTACAGAGGGTTTTATAGGGTTACAGGAGGTTAGTGGGGGCTACAAAGGGTTACATGGGGTTACAGGGGGTTACTTAGGGTTACATAGGGTTACAAGGGGTTACAAATTTTACAGTAGGTTAAGGGTTATAGGAGGTTAGAAGGGGTTCCAGGGGGTTACAAAGGGTTAGATGGGATTACAAAGTGTTACAGGGGCTTACAGGGGGTTAAATAGGGTTACTAGGGGTCACAAGGGGTTACAAAGGGTTACAGATTGTTGGAAGGGGTTACAGGGGGTTAGAAAGGGTTACAAAGGGTTGCAAGGAGTTACAAAGGGTTACAGTTGTTACAGTTGGTTGCAAGGGGTAACAGGGGGTTACAAAGGGTAACAAGAGGTTACTTAACAAATTTCCCTTAAGCTCGATTGGGCTCTGAGTCAATAGCCCATGAGGTTGAATGCCGAATGGGCTATTGAATCAGAGGCCATGAGGGCGAGAGGAATAATTGTTTTAGTGCAATCCAACTGGTTGGTGAAAAATATCGAGAATAAAAAACTTTTAGCTTGTTAAAGCTCGACTTTAATGCTTTTTTGCCGCCAAAAAACCCGCGCTTTTCGCTACTAGTGGGCTACAACATATAGCCTATTAGTACTTCAACCAATCAGAACGCAGCATTGATAATTGACCACTTGCTGGATTTTAGTAGAAAGGGTTACAGGAGGTTACATAGGGTTACAAGGGGTTACGGCGGATTACAAGGGGTTACAAAGGGTTGAAAGGGGTTACAGGGAGTTACAAGAGGTTACAAAGGGTTACATAGGGTTAGAAGGGGTTGCAAAGAATTACAAAGGGTTACTAGGGGTTACAAAGGGTTATAAGGCGTTACAGAGGGTTACAATGGGTTACAAAGGCTTACAAGAGGTTACGGGGGCTTACAAAGGGTTACAAAGGGTTACATAGGGTTACAAGGAGATACAGGGGGTTACAAGGGGTTACAAAGGGATTACAAGGGGTTACAAAGGGTAACAAGGGGTTACAGGGGATTACAAGAGGTTACAAGGGGTTACAGGGGATTATGAATGGTAACAGAAGGTTACAAGGGTTACAAGGGTTACAAAGGTTACAAGCGGTTACAAGAGGTTACAAGGGGTTACAAGGGGATAGAAAGGGTTGCAGGAGGTTACAAGGGGTTAAGACGGATTACAAGGAGTTACAAGTAATTAAAGTGCCTCATAAGGAAACACCACTGCACTTTTGTCCGAAGCATCAAGAGGATTAAAATACAACTTTCTCATTCTTTTCCTCGATGTAACGTCATATTCCACACACAATCTGGAAAAACGTTTTGGCTGGATATCCACCTGGATTTTTCTTTGACGGTTTGGCAATTTCTTGGATAAACTGAGCCATTAATAAATATAAGGCTTAAGGTATCCATTTGAACTATAAACGAAATTTTCAAGGGCTGAACTTCGTGCGGATCATAATGTTTAAAGAGACCACCCGGTTCCAACGTCTGTTGCTGCAGCTTTAACAAATCGAGCTCCATAAAAAATCCCAGCTGCCTATTTGTTTATATCGGGTAGACTTTCAGATATAGCGCTAGCCGAACACATTTCTTCTTCCTCATAAGTCCTTGGACGTCTTTATTGCAAAGCAGCGTTTTTGTTCAGAAGTCACAAATAGCTGAGCTTTTGCTGAGTAACAAGTTGACACTGAATGCCAAATAAATGATCTAATATCACACACCATCAAGGACCAAGAAGGTGACAGGTTCACATTTCGTCTCATTTGCACCATAGTACCCGTATAGCTATCACATTTGTTCGCTGGAATTGTTTATTGTTTTTAAGCCTATTTAAAACGATAAAAAATCCCAGCGGGTAAATGCCGAACAACTATACGCGTACGTTGAAAATGAATCCATCCTTTGTTAACTTTGTTTTTTTGTTTTTTCGCGTTAAGAAATCAATCTAGTATTTTTGGTCTTTTAATTTTCAAACAGTTTAAAAGACATTAATGAACTTAAAATCAATTTGAAAACAACATAAAAAGGGTTTTTTTTTATAAAATTAAAAGAAAAGAATAAAGTACCATGAGTAAAATGAAAAATAAAATGAAATAAAGTCAAAGTGAGAAGAAAATGATACTACACAATAAAACGGAATTAAAAACAGCAAAAAAAATATTTGCATCAACAAAGAGAGAAATATCGCAGAAAGACTGGACCACCAGTATCTCTACCTGTCAGACTCTGGCTTTTAATCTCTTTCTAAGCTTTGCATGAATTATCAGTACAGATACGATTGAACCGTCCTGTTACAAATATTTATCTTAATTGAATTAAACGGTTATAAAGGAAAGGAAGCCGTAAAAGGAAATGTAAGCATAACAGTTACTAGTAGAGGAGAGATACAAAGTTCGACCGTTTATGTTAAGAACTACTTTCCATTTGCAACAACGTTTACCTTATGTCTAGACTGCAAAACAGTCCGTATTTTTGCGTATTCAGTACACGCGAGCAGTCAAACAAAAGGTCTAGAACGAGGCTGAAAACAGAGAGCGAGACTCGCGGAGAGACGGGGGTGTGAGGCTCGCGCGCTTCGCGCGCGTAAGACTCTTACGCCACGCTTTACCGATTTCTTTACTGATTTTGAGAAGAAAAACCACTGTTTTGCAGTCTACCTTATGTCTTGCAGTAAAAGTAATACAACTTTTTTGGTCAGTCTCTTGCTGTGTTCAATTAAGGGTAAACAGTTATACGAACATTTATAATAGCATAACCAATAATGCTTATTAGAGTAAATACGTGTGACCAAGAGCCATAATAGGACTCTTGGTGTGACATAACAAAAATTAGAAGTTGCTGGATGGGATTGGTTGCATGGCATATTCAGGAAGAACAAGGTGAAAAACGTCCCCTTGCTAAAAAAACTATGTAAAAAATGTAAAATAGGTGAAAACCGGATAAACACAGTTAATTATACTGTAAAGCGCCATACAAATTCTTCTAAAATTAGCTTGTATCGTAAAGTTAACGATTCTGGCCTATTTCGGAGGCATTTAAAGGACGGTCGTCTGAGCATGGCACGCCTCTGAACATAATGGTGCTTATATCTCCACACTAATTTGCACTAACAGGTTGATTTTTAGCAATTGCCCATTTTTCATGTTGTTCTTACTGGATATCGCGTGAAATGTCTAGTAAACGGCCGGGGCATCTATTTGATTGTTAGTAACTAACAATGCATTTGAAGGAGAAATGTTAGCTATTGATGCATGTCCACGGAAATCAGTATGAAGCTTAGAGACAGTACCCCTAAATGAATATAAGAGGGACTCTCACTTGTAATTGACTGACTGTTTAAACATTAGCGAATTTTAGCCCTTGTTTTACTGCCTAACAAGTTATCAACAATCTTGAAAACCTTGACATCTTCGATGTCATTATAACCTTGATTATAACAAAAATGTTCTTTGTCTAGTGGTGGTAATGTTCCAAATCTTTGTTATTAATATGGTGACTTAGTTTATGCTCAAACTTGGGAGATATTGACCCTGAACAACCCTATTGAGCCACCTTAAATCAATGTGGTTATAATTACATGTATTTCAAACCTCAACTCGCTTTCGATTTCGGAATCCCTACTTTAAACTTGACGTTGATCAAGATGCAATGCGCAAGCATTAATTAATCAAAAAATAAACTGAATAAGTTGAATCGATTTGCTCCTTTTTTCTTATTCCTACTTAAGCGTAGGGGTGGTGTCTGTTAGGCAGGGAGGGTGTTTGTTAGAGGGGAGCCTTTAATACACACTTGAGGCTTGGGAGTGCGTTAATAAGACAAGAGCCGTTTTGAGATTAGGGGTCGATATCATTTAAAGTATGCAAACCAACCCCATAATTTGCACAAATGTCATTTTTGTGACGTCATCATTTCCCTTCTCTATTAAATGTACAAAAGAAGCATTAGTGCGACCTAACACTCCAGATTTAAATTTCGTTGAGGATAAACAGCGCTTGAGGGTTTGGATACTGAGTAAACTGCATTCCATCCACTAACGTAACCATGCCGGTGCTATCACATCCCAAGAACTTTGTGTTGTCCAACGAGTAGCGGAAAAAGGTGTAACTCCAGTAGTAATCGAAGGTAAAGCGAGAGTTGGGAGGATATGGTCCAGATACATATAGCTGAAATTTATGCAGAGAAAGCTTATAATTAATACTGTACATGCTTTAAATTAGCTAACGGAATCACTTGAAAAGTCTCTGTGCGCTAAAGATATTAAACCTGCAAACCCCCGACTCCTTTTGGAGCCTTTTGTTCTTATGAATAATAGTAATATGATATTAGCGAAACAGCTGTGCATGGCTACAATCCTGCTCTGTTTTGGGTTCTTTTGGTGTCTTGTTGATGTCTTGCAAAATTTAATTTTCACACTGAGTACGATCAGCATAATGAGGTATTCTGTTTGCAGAATTTAATATGTCTACATGGTTTTCACAGCGGAGCTCCACCCGCGGCGCGAAGCTCCGCACGTGTGCGTAGCCCCATGGCTAAGTAAATCTACCCATCGCAGAAAATTTGGTAATCACGTGACGGTACACCGAGCGAGCGAGTGACCGTCCGTCCGCACCACAGGGAAACCAATGTTTACTTTCACACTTTCTAGCTAGTTTGGGAGCCCAAGAGAAAACTAATTGCACACCAATGTTCTGATTAATTGGCAGCTGTCAAAACAGGGTATCCGCTGACCAGTATCACCTGACCGTACGGCGGTCTGAAGTGTCGACCCATCGAGGTCGAGTATTTTTGAAGTTATCCGCTGACAAATTACCAGTTTCAGATGATCGCAGGCTTAAGTTTATTTTTTCCAATGATTCATATGTTGTGCTTATGCTCCTGGTTTATGTCACTATGGCCCTGCACTGTTAAGATTTTGATTTCAAACTGACCTCGGACGCGAAAATTCAGCCAGTTTTTTAAAAAATACAGGCGGGGAAGACCTTTTCTCACCATAGCCACGTGTTTGTCACGTTCTACGTCCAATTTTTATGTTCTTGGTCAAAATTTGACTGGTGAGTTCCTGCGGAAAATTTATGCAGCATCTTGAAAGTTGTTTACTTTGACAGCTGAAGCTGACAGATTTTTTTCTGCCAACTTGTAATGTTTTTAGCTGTCTTTTTCTACTGGATGTACAAAATGAAATACATCTGCTGTCAAGAGTCTTCTGTTCTTCATGGCTGGTTTGTTTATTGGGTTTTTGGTTGGGAAATGCTTCGCTTGTCAAAGTCGGTAATCCGATTTCGAATGGCATCGCTTTCGTCTTGCTTAATGCGTAAGAGAGTTTAAAAGCCTCGAGACACTGTGGCCTTCCTTGATATCTTTCAGGAACTGAATCTTAAATGGTGAGCCTGAGTAATTATTATATTTGATGTTTTTTTTAACCTCTAATTTCATAAAGTCGAGCACAGTTTATGCGGCAAGTATGATAATATAGGAATAGCAATATGTCGTCATTAATTTTGGCTGTAGAAAGAAAACTTTGCGCGATTTTCTTGCTTCGAGTTCATCTTTGAAAAAAGCAAGCACCAGGAGGCCGGCTAAAAGTAAAACTTAAACTTAAGGTTAAACTTTAAGCTTAAATAAAGACTCAGGATTTTTAGAGACACTTTAATTCTTGTCTTCGTGAATGAAAACTGTTGTCTCTGTAGATGTTTCACCGAATTATATTTCTTTTATTGATTGTTAGTAGTCTCTATTGCAATTTTAATCGCTTGTCCGTGCCGTTTGTTTTCATCGTTCATAAACATCGCTTGCAAGGGTACACAAAATGTTTGCATGTAGTGCGAGCTGTCGGTGTGGTCGAGTGTTTGAATGAACGTTGGTAGAGTTACGCTTCAACATAAATACCGTATGTTAAGAATCTTCTTTTACCGCATACAGTTAGCCAAAAGGATGAAAAACCGCAGACCGCAGGGCTAGATGCCGCACATTGAAATCTTTAAAATCAAAATTAGCGGAAAACGGCTCGGAAAAAAAGAGAAAAACAAAACAAAAACAAAAAAACTCAATACAGCAATACCGTCAACCCCGGGCTCCATGGCCCCCTCGTTGAACCTTTTGCATTAAGCAGCCACCCTCGGGGTACCGGCAAGTGGCCGCGCTTAATGCAGGTTGGCTGCTCATTATTAGAGGTTCGTCATAAGTTAGCATAATCTTTAGACTGGAAACATCACTTTATTTTGAAACAAATACACGACGATATTTGGACTGTGATTACTTCCGGTCAGAGACAATAGTGAATTCTGTAAAGCAACATTAAACAATTGTAAGCACCTCAGGGAGACATTTAATTAATGATGATAAAATATTTTACCGAAGCTACGACGTTGTTCTGTGGTGCTGTGTTTACAGTTAGGACGTATTTTTGTCTGCCGTTGTTGAAGAGAAGACTGACATCGTTCTGATTAATATTAATCGCACTTGTGGTAACAGTCGATAAATCCTGTCCACCTTCATACAACAGAACAAAACATAAAGTTATTTGAAACAGGAAATAAGATGCAGAGAAGGGATCGGGGATCTTTCCACCTTGATGAAAGGGACAAAACATAACTTATTCATGTAAGCAAATGCTGGAAAGGGAACGTTGATACTATTTTAGTGTAGCTTGCTTATATTGTTGATAATTTCGGATTTTTATTTGCCAGGGTCTAGGCTTCATAGCTAAAAGGAAGTCCGATACTTCAAGATCTCTGCACACTGAGCAAACCTTATTTTAAATTTTAAAGCAAGAAAAAGGTAGAAAAGAAGTAAAGAGAGTCAGGAAGCCTTGAACCAAGTAGCAGCGATACCGGGTAAGTACGCGGACACAAAGGAGACATGCCATAGTGGCCGTATTATCCGGGTGTCAGAGGGCTCTACGAAAAACTGAACCTCACGGACACATGCTGTATTGATATAAGGACTATAAAGGACTTAGCCCTAGCACAGAGCCAATGAAGTGAAACTTGGGATGCGAAAAATGCAGACTGTGAACCGGTATAAGTTAATACAATCTGATACAATACATTTACTTCCAGGAGGCCTCGTAAAAGGGAAAAATCTATTTAAAAATAGGAAACTTACTGCCGCTGCTACTGAAAGAACCGTTGCAATAAAAATTACTGCCAGATGGGTTTAGCACCATTAAACCGTCGTTTGACATGCCAACAAGGCTCCACATTCGATAATTGGTGTTCTCGTCAACTGGGTGGGGTTTCTGCGGACTGCCGTCGGTAGCCCCATTTCCCGATCTAAGTAACGCATAACTCGACAAGCCAATACTGGTTAGAGTCAACGCACTCAAAACCACATGGTACGAAACACAGAACACCCTAGTCTTCCGTCCATGATAACAGGCGCTTTGACTTGGTTCCTTAAAATAAATATAACGTAAATTAAAAAGTGCTTCATTTGGTCAGTCAGTTCGTCAGCAACACGTTCTTTTTCCTCTGTTTTTAGGTTTGTTTTGCTTTGTATTTTTGTGGTTGTTTGTTGATTTTTTTTTTCATTTCTTCCATTTTACTTACTAGTATATTGTGACTCAATTTGAAAAGTATGACGTTCATGGCGCAATATTATTAGTCGAAGGTACATTTGTGAATGTGCTTTTGTGAGATTGTTTACCCTGTTAGTTAGTAGTAATGGTCCTTGTGTGCCACCAATGTGACTGGCTGCAAACGCGCCTTAAAAAAAGAGTTGTGGGGGGTAACCACTACGAGCAGAGGTTTCTTTCCGGCATAGGTCTTAGCGTTAATTTTACTTCTACAAGATCCAGAAAATTCTGGAAGGGTGGACCACGACAATTGACAGCGATAAAGATACTATTCAATTTACTGAGAATTCTGTAAATAATGCAAAATTTCACCGAAAAGGAGGCAGGTAGGTTGGAGCCTTGAAAGTTTGGCGGTCCACTCGACCACAACCTAGGCCCCACCTGGGCCCTGGAGTGTATTTTAAATATACTTATATTTGCTTAGTGTCTGAAACAGGTTTCCCAACTATTGACTGGAACAGGCCGGGTCGCAGATTCATTTATTTTTTTTCTTTTCTTTTCTGGAATAAATTCAGATAGGAGCCGGATTATTAGATTCCAGAGTCTTAATGATCGCGACTCAGCAGGTCACCTCCCCAGTATAAATTTAAGAAAGTTCCCCGGGGGTCGTTATAACACCTGTCACTTTAATTTTAGCGGCAAGATCGCGCTGGCTACACAATATGTGTAGAGCATTTTATTTGAAAAAACACTTTATCTTGACTGGGTTGAATAGTGGCTCGTTACATTGCCTAGCAAATTGCATTTTCAATAGTTATATCTCACCTCCACAGACATTCCTCCCGGCATTGCGTTCAAGGCTTTCCACACCAACGATATGCAAAACTATCAAACAAACAATTTTGACAGTTAAGATAACAGTGGCTAAAATTTTACTAACCGGGACAATTAAACAAGTTACAAGTACCGAGATTCCACAAAATTCGAGAAATTTTTTCCTGTAAAATCCGGAAACCTGGTCTCTGGAATCTAGCATGCAGCTCAAGGAATCCGGAATCCCAATAAGACTGGAAACCACAATGAATAAGAACTTAACGTAAATTGGTGGCCCAACCTAAGCCCAAAAATTCGACGGACGTACTTAAACACAGGTGCGACCACTTCTGAACATAACACCACTCAGTATCCTTTCAAGTATTCCGGCGTCTGATTTCCATTGGCTCAGATTCCTAATTCTCCAATAACTTTTGCAATATACGGTAAAATGACGTCAACAGTAATCGCCAGAAAACTAGAACGGCAAATTAAAAGCCCTGAGGATGAGGTTGCTTTGGCTCAGTTGTTTTCGAGCCTTTTAGAGATGGGCAAAATGCTGGAAAATTTTTCATGTTTTGCGAAGAAGCAGTGAACGAACTTCTGCCCTCAAATAAGCAAGAACAGTAAAATACAACTCAACGGATGACAACTTTCATTCTGCAGAATATCTGTTTGACTAAACTTCACTAGTTTTGCAGTTCCGAATTTTTGCCGAGGAACAGCAGACACATGCAGAATCCCACATCGATAGACTACTGAACACGTCCAGTAAAGTAGGAATAAATTTAAAGGGGATGTTTCACGGCTCCCTAGAGTTCACTTTGTTAATATTGTCAATATCACGACCCTATTCACAATGTGTAGTTCCAGAAAATATCCATACACCCCACGGAGGGCACTTTGCTTTAGATCCCTACCTCCTGGAATTTCCGTAATTTTCCAACTTGGTGATATTTTTAAATATCTTACGCTCTTAAAAGAGCCGATGACAGCTATCTATCGCGTAAGACGTAAACAAAAAAATAATATAAATAAAAATAAATAAATAAAATAAAATATTCAGCCGACCGTTCATAAAATATCACCGATGAAAACTGAATAAGTGATTTAACTGATAGCTTGCTGAATAGAGCGGTTGTTAGTTTTCGAAAACTCACCAGTCTAACTCATGCAGAGTCCACTCTGTCCCAAGCATGATATCAAAAGCAAAAGTTACAGCGAAAAAAATGAACTGTGAGGCTAACAAGTTTTCAGAACCTCAATTATCTTAGTCAGGTTTGTCAATTCATACCTCCTTTTAAGTTTGGTGCGTTATTTAGACCGTTTTTTACGCTTTTGAGCTGTTTTTTTTTTGTTTCACTCGATTTGGTGGCGCTTCCATTGACACAGCTCCTCTAATCAAGTTCTTCTACCCATCGAATGCAATTATAAGTGAACTTATCATAGTCACTGATATCAACCTTATCATACACTTACCGTGTGCACCACAGTCAGTCCTCAGCAATGAATTGTACGACGCGTTTTCTGGGCCCCCTTAAATACTCCATTCGAATGTTTCTAAATTTGTTCCTGACCTAATAAATCGTAAATTTTCTAAATTTATCCCTGACCCTTGTACTAAGTAAACTCTTCCGCGTATGGATGAAGAGAAGCTGATATCGGTATCTTTTTATCAAAGCGCTCCTAAAAGAGTTAATTCTTTTAAGTACATAGTTACGTCTAACATGGCTAAAGTGTAAATTCTGATAAGTTAGTTCACTGACGTCTTGATGCCCAAATACGCCATTTAAGACTATGTCGATGCCGATGTTTATTTTTTCTACAAGGAATACAACTGGCAAATATAAACACTAAAACGATACGTTAACAGAATCCATAGACAACACTGACGTCCCGGAAATCATGATCAAGAATCAACGAACCGGTAAGCGGAAGTTTAGTTACTCCCTGAAAGCAACTGAAGTATGACGTTGTCGCGTCCTAGCACTACCGTTATGAATTTCAGAGAAAGGATTAACTTCCCCTGTTGTGTGATATTTTTATCATCCGGAACGTTAACATTCTTGTTGCTTGAGCAGGGGCACCCGACGACAATTTTCGGAAAATATCTGTTCGGAAGACGATTTGAGATCTAGAATTTTCGGAACATTTGTTATAAAATTACTTGCTTGCCTGCCTCTTCTAGGATTTTCGAACATCTAAAAAATGGTAAAATTGCCCATTTTCAACGGATTTTTACACTAAAAAGGTCACCTAGAATTGTCGGGAGCCTTTTTTCTGGCTGAAATTTTCGAACAGGTAAGTTTTGATCCCTATAATTTTCGGATCACTAGACTTTCAGCTAGGAAATCCGAACAGATGAAAAATTTATAGGGGATAAAGATATGCCCATATTGACCGTTTAAATACTAAAACACGTTTAACAATGCTATGTTTAAGTGGTTTTGAACTATATTCTCGTTGGGTGCCCCTGCTTGAGGTCGCTACTTCATTTCGCTGTGGCTATATGGCCGGTAACCGGTCAAGCTTTTCAAAATACTAAATGGCCGGCAGTTCTATATTCTCAGTAAATTTCACAAAATCGAAAGATTCCAGCTAATCTAAACTATCATATGTCGTTTTAGAAAAGTCAAGCGATCCTGAAATGCTTTACAGATCTCAAGTCTAGTGTTTGGTTTGCGCTGGGCTCAGAGGAGGAAATCATGCTTTTTGACACTTAGAAATTCTTTCAGCTCGACTGCTGGTCAAGGTGTTCAAAACACTAAATGGCCGGCAGTTCTATATTCTTAGTAAATCTCACAAAATCGAAAGATTCCAGCTAATGTAAACTATCATACGTCGATTTAGAAAAGTCAAGCGATCCTGAAATGCTTTACAGATCTCAAGTCTAATGTTTGGTTTACGCTGAACCATGTTTTGTGACACTTTTCAGCTCGACTCAGGGGCACCCAACGAGGATATAGTTCAAAACCACTTAACATAGCATTGTTGAACGTATTTTAGTATTTAAACGGTAGTTATAGGCACATTTTTATCTCGACTGCTGAAAGTCTAGTGATCCGAAAATTATAGGGCTCAAAACTTACCTTTTCGAAAATTTCAGCCAGGAAAAGGCTCCCGAAAATTCTTGGCCTTTTTAGGGTAAAATCCGTTTAAAATGGGTAATTATACCATTTTGTAGATGTTCGAAAATCCTAGGAGAGGCAGGCAAGCAAGAAATTTTACAACAAATGTTCCGAAAATTCTAGTTCTCAAATCGTCTTCCGAACAGATATTTTCCCGAAAATTGCCGTTGGGTGCCTCTGTCGACTGCCGGTCAAGGTTTTCAAAACACTAAAAGGCCGGCAGTCTGTTATTCTCAGTAAATTCCACAAAATCGAAAGATTCCAGCTAATCTAAACTATCATACGTCGACTTAGAAAACTCAAGCGATCCTGAAATGCTTTACAGATCTCAAGTCTAGTGTTTGGTTTGCGCTTGGCTCAGGGGAGGAAACCATGTTTTGTGACACTTGGAAATTTTTTCAGTTCGACTACCGGTCAAGGTTTTCAAAACACTAAATGGCCGGCAGTCCTATATTCTCAGTAAATTTCACAAAATCGAAAAAACCCAGCCATAAGTATAAAAGTGTCCTGACATCTCTTTTCCGCGACTCACAGAAGTTACTATCGTAACACCCAGTCAGGCCAGGTTTTTATCTGTCTTTTTTACACAAATACAACAACAACAACAATTTATTAAGGTATTCCTTTTTACATACATGGCATTACCTATTCTCTTAAAAAAGTAAATAATTAATTAATTGTTTGACTCACTTTTGAAATTACATGATCGTGTCTACAATTCATAAATACATGTATATCTGCGTAAGAGCTTAAAACAGTAAGGTCTTTCTAGGTTGATTTTCAGTAAAGCTAACATCGGAAAATAATGACCATTCGAACACAATGTTGAGCATTTCTCGGAAAATCTCCGAAAATCTGTCTCGATGAAAGAGTCCTGAATTGACAGCAATATCAATCAAGCAATCAAGCAATCAATGGCCTAAGTTTTTTAATCCACTTAACAACGAGGTCATCAACTCTCAATCCCTTTCCTTTTTTACTGAGAAAAAACTGAGGATTAAATTATTGAGTAAGTATGAAAAAAGTTCTTAAATCTTTCCATCTTCTTCAATTGATGTGAAACAGCTCTAGCCGGTAGTTCGAGGAGGCCTAACCTCTCATAAGCTCCTATAGTTTCTGTTAGGTCTCCTCACCACTTCTCTTTTTTCTTCTTTCCCTATATTTTTTGTAATTATTGTGTGGTAAATAAAGATAAAATAAATAAAAATGTATTATCACTTTACACATAAAACGTATTATTTATCGTATGTTTTGGTATAATCATGATGTTGTATGGGGCGTCGATAAAACCCGGAACATGGAACATGCCGGAACATTCCGGAACATTCCGGAACATCCCGGAACATCCCGGAACATGAAAAAATTAAAAGATTTTTTTATGAAAAAATAATCAATTAATTAAATAATAATAATAATAATAATAAATAATAATAAAAGGAAAAATAGATAGAAAACAATTTTTGCAAAAATTTATAATAACAAAATAAATAACATAACATAACGTAACATACAAAACGAAAAATAAAGAAACAAACAAACAAACAAAGAAAAAGAAACAGGTATCATATCCGAGTATGAGAAAACAATATTTTGTCGCAATGAATTTTTTGCAGTGGGCGAGTGAGGGTCCATTCAAATGACAGTAATGAGTGAAGGCTTGCTTCTAAATTCAAAATATATTAAAATGGGTTGAGAGGAGAGGGTTTTCAAGCTTTCGTCACACAGCCACCTCTTGTAAACGTTTGCCATGCGGTTTAACGGTTATCCATTTACGGCTTTGCGACCGTTAGAAGACCTTAGGGGCTCGTCGCTTTGGACTTGGATAATTAAATTAAAGATTCACTTTCGCCGTGAATAGTTGCAGTGGCAGTGGTAGTGCAGCGTTAGTTTCTAACTGTTATCAGTTAGCCTGAATTTTAGCCGTCTCCCCTCAAACTCCTCTTGCGACTCGAGGAGACGTCTGAAATATCATGCTGGCTGTAAACAGTATAGAAACTACCACGAATGTGAGTATTGTTACCTGTATTGTCCACTAAAATCCAAAGACAGGAGCCCTGTACTCTTCTTAAGTTCACAGAGCCGCCTAGTCTGTAACTAATTCATGTCAACCTCAAGTGAAGCAAAGCACCCCAAGGAAGCAAATGTCGGTTAATATATATAAGGAGACTATATGTTGGCTTGAAATGAGCTACTTGCCGACTTGGCTTGACATGAAATACTGCACCGACATTTCAGACCATTACAGAACCGTAAATGGATAACCGCCAAATGATTAACTCACGGCAAACAATTACAAGAGGTAGCTGTGTGAGGAAAGCTTAAAAAAAACCCCTCCTCGCGACCCATTTTAATATATTTTGAATTTAGAAGCAAGCCTTCTCTCGTTACTGTCATTTGCATGAACTCTCACTCGCCGCCCAACAAATTTTAATTTGTTGCGACAAAATATTGTTTTCTCATACTCAGAGGGGATAGCAGTTTCTTTTTCTTGATTATTTCATTATTTTTCGTTTTTCTTTTGTTATTTTACGTTATTAATAATTTTTACAAAAATTATTTTATTATTATTATTTTATTATTTTTTTTTCATGAAAATTATTTTTATTTTTTCATGTTCCGGGATGTTCCGGGATGTTCCGGGATGTTCCGGAATGTTCCGGCATGTTCCATGTTTCGGCTTTTATCGACGCCCTGTTGTATGCGCAACGCTGTATCTCACTAAAACTAACGAGGTTATCATAAGCCTGCGACATCGTTCTCCGTCGCTAGAGACGTTTCGCGAAACCTACCAACGACGGAGAGCGATTAAAGACGGCTGTATTCGGAGGCTAGGTTCCCACTGGAATTCTGAATCTTGCTACAAATGTTGAAAACTGAGATGCAAATGTAACCTCTTCATTCAAATCTCAAAATAAGTGGTCACGTGCGGCGTAGCAGAACTCTAACTTCATGGTTCTTAATCTACCAGTATTACTGATTGTGATTTATAATAATCTGATGGGATCGTTGACCAATCCAAGTAAAGAGTAATGAAGTAAGCCTTTTCTTAAAAGATAATTAGTAATGCGAATGTGATTTGAAGCAGCGCAGGGCACCTGATTCTGGAAATCAAATTAGTATCTAGCATTATAACGTTTCTTTGAACCCGTTCCCTGTTTTCTTTCCCAAATTTTATGTCCAAGTCCCCAAAAAGTTCCCTTGGTCCTTCACTACAGCTTAAATGATAAAATAAAATCGTTTATCATATCCATCGAAAGACATATGGAGCTTATGAAGAGTAATTAGCCAATGGCAGGCAATAGGTATTCTTGTGGTAGAAATCACAACCACGATAGTCATCGCCAGATACACCCTTTTATCGCTGCAATGGTATAAGCGACGGAACTGTTAACTAAAGGAAAGAGAGAATGGGACGAGAGAATGCACCGCCGTTCAACATTCTACTTTCTATTCCTAACTTTCCACTATGTGCCCTGTGGATTTTCTTCACGAACGGAGAACTCATTTCATACCATTTAGATAATATTACACCATAGCAATCTAGCAAGAAGATTTCCACCTTAAAATAACCACTGTTATGACCGTGCACTAAGATTAGGGGGAAACCACATATAATTATCATTGAAACAGGGCTATTTCAGGCCGTTGGTTCTCTCGCTTCATTCTCTCTTGTAAATAATCATGCGTATTTCACTCTGCACGATGTGCAGAACCAGTTTCGGTGCTTTGGACGCTTTTTCAAAGAGATGCATTTAAAATGCGACCAAAGAAGGCATCTGTCACAAGCAATGCTGTCCTCATGTTCGTCGTTTATCATTTTTGTGCAAACAGAACCAACAAATTCTATGCAGTTCTTCTCCCTACTGGATTTTAAAACTAACAACGAACACTTTTAAAACCTCAGCGGGATTCTAGGATTTTACACCGCAGGACAGGTAAAAAAA